TTAAAAATCAGACATTCAGCATTCAAAACTGTTTTTTTAATGTATATTGTATAATGCAAATTGTGGAAAATTAATAAATCAATGCTATTAATGATATTACTAAATATTAAAATGAGCTTTCAAAGGAACTATTTGTAAGTTTTGCTATTGCTACATAGCCAAAGACAGCAATAACAGCTGTTCACTTACCAGTCTAGAAGAAACGTTGTGAGTTCAGCATCAAACTCCATTCCTTTACTCGCCAAGAGCTGCCTCCACCAGTAGAAAGCAAACCTCTTCTTTGCTTCTACTTCTATCTCGTTTCTTTTCTTCTACTGAAGTTACCATGCTAACCAGCTAGCTCTGGCCCGGTCGTCCCATCTCGTCACTTTCCGATACCGAATCACTGTAGTGTCCAGGGTGCCCTGAAGAAGTAGAATGGCTCAGAGGACCTATTATTACCCCTTGTCTTGTAAATGCAACAATGGCTGAAGCTCTTGGAAGGACTAGTAAGTAAACAGTTGTTAATGCTGACATTGGCTATGCCGAAATACCAAAACTTACATATAGCTCCTTTAATTATTTATGGTGTGGCTCCTACAGCTTTGCAATAATTGTTAAAATTCATGTCTTACCTGTATAATCAAAAAAGTAGAATTGAGGCTATTCACTTAATTAATGACATGCAAAAAAAGAGAAGACTTATAGTAGACTCTTGAAAGGTAGCCTATGACCTTCATGATGAAAACCTCAGATGTTCTCCTGAATGTGCATCGATTCTGTTTCTTGAACAGAGAACTGATAAAAAAACAGTATCTTCAGGTGCAAAAATAAATGAATGGAAAAGCACCTTTTCTCATTTCCTGTAAAATAATCCGTCAGCATCAACTGACAAAAGAGGTTACAGGTGAGACACGGCACCTGGTGAGTATATTGTGAATTTTGACAGGACAGCAAACCTTGTGAATGGTGAAGTTTTATTCTAGTCGCTCTACAGAGAGAGAGAGAGAGAGAGAGAGAAAGAAAGAGAGAGAGAGAGAGATAGAAAGAGAGAGAGATAGAGAAACAGTGCCACTGTACAGAAGAGCTCCTGTGAAATTCACACAAAAAATATTGTTTTTACTCTTTATCATTTATAATTCTCCATGATGATGTATTCCAGTATGAATTTACAAGCGATGTATACAGGTGTCATTTCTAAATATATTCAAAATAGTTCCTTAAAAGTCTTTGAGGAAGTATTAGTTTTTAAAAAAAAAAGCTCTATTCTTACAGCAAACCATAAAGAAAGAGGTCTTGTATCTTTGGAGGGATAGCAGACTCAAAGTAGAGGGTTGCTTTTTTTTTCTTTTATCTTCTTTACAGTTGAAGTCCTGACTACACATGAAGGAGAGGGAAGAGAGAAGCAGAGCTGGTGATACAGTAATTCTCACCTGCCACTGGAGGAAGAGCAAGGATGTCCCGCCATACCAAGCCAAGCCCTGACCCCTGACCCGCAACCCCATTGGGCAAAACATGGCCTGATAACGACCAGTCCGCCAATGAGGAAGTTGCACGAGGGTCAAGTCCTCGCCTTCTCCCCCAAAACAGCAGCAGCATCTTCATCGTGTTAAACATAGATAATTTTTTTCTCTCAAATATGTATATACTCACACCTGGTTACAACGCATTAGTGATCATAACATCATAACAAAAAGAACAAACAAAAAGAAAAAAAAGAAAAAACATAAAACATTAAAATTGTTACATCTGGGGTTGCATGCCATCACCTCATTATTTATCATTAAATGTAATTAAAATACATTTTTGCCATTAAAAAGAGCAGGGTTGTCATCACAAGGGTGTGTCTGGGTGTGTACGTGTTTGTGTGTGTGCGTGTGTGTGCGTGAACATAAAACAGCATCAGTTTACATGACAGTTCTGTAAAAGTAGAACGAATAGAACAAATCGTCATGAGTTCATAAAACGCAAGGGTGCCGTTTGATATTTTTACATGTGCATATTGTTCACTTGTCAGCTCACGCAAGCAGCATGTGGAGATAAATATGATAATAATCATAAATATGCAGATAAGATGCAAAAAAGGACAAATGTTGCTCGTCAGTCAACATTGGGTAAGCTGATTGGGAAGCAAGGAGAGGTTCACTGCAGTATTCCAAGAGTACAAAAGGGCGATATGACCTTGGTTGTTAAAGATGGAGCTTCAATTGAAACACAGTGCCTAATGCAGTCAACTGCCATTAAAAACCATGGAGAGGAAAGAGAGAGATTCCTGTTTGAGTATTCCATATAAGGGTAGCTTTTCAGATTTTGGATGTTTAAGTAACATCCTCCATTCTGTTAAGGGCGCTCAGTTTGGCAAGGAGTGGAGTTGCATGCAACACACCCCCTCTCTGAGCAGAACGACCTAAGCTCCCTACTGCCATCCCTCCTTTCCCTCCTTCTCTTCCTCTTCTTCTCTCTTTACTTGGGTTGCATGAGCTCGGGCAGAGAGCCGAACTGGAAGACCTTGGACTGGTAAACATCAAAAGGAGAAAAGTTTGATCCTGCTTTGTGGCCACTATAAATTGTGTGGTTGTTTTTCTTTTTTTTTTTTCTTTTTTTTCTTTTTTAATTCTTTCTTTTCTACAAAAAAATCTGTGCCACATCATGTTCTGTTGCTACGGTTGAAGCTCCCCCAAAACGCACAGAATCATCCTGAGGTATTTTATTTGATACAATTTGGCTTTGTGAATCCAATCAATCAAGCAAATCAGTCAGTTAATATGGTTACATGATTTTTCTTTTGACTGTACAATTTGTACAGCATAATGCTACAAAAAAAAAAAGTGTTTTTGTGGGCACGTGTGTACATGGAAGTATGTGCATGTGCAAGTCTTTTCTGCCAAGTGTTATCAAAAAGAACAAACAAACAATCAAACAAACAAATGCATAAACAATGAGATTAGGAACCAAATGTTCTGGTTAAGTCTTCAAGCTTACCCAAGTTCTGTCATGCACACACACACGACTTAATCCACACTAAGATGGATACATGATTGATGAGCACATAACAGCGGAGCCTCCTCAGCTCCATTTCTCTCCATCTTGTCCCGCCCACCCCATCCCACGTCCCACCCAAACAATGCTATGAAGGTAAACAAGGGATCCATCTCAAGTAGTCTTCAGATCCTCACGAGCCTGGTTGATTGCGCATCAACTGTAATTGATGATACATTTTTAACAGAATCCACAGTTAGACTGTAGTGGTTATAGTACTGTGTAGCACTGCTACTGCTGTACCAACCAACCAAAGCTCAATTTGACAAAAACCCAAATAAATAAAGTGAAGTGTTTCTAATTATCCAACACTCTAGTGATGTGTCATGTTGATCGAGGCAGGGAAGGAGGAGGGAGGAAAGAAGGAAAGAATCGTCAGTGTTTTTTTTTTGTTTTTTTTATAGTTAATACCCTGTTTCTCAGTGGCAGGGAGGTCAAAAGACAAAAAAACACTTCAGTGTCCACCTCCTCCCCACCTCAAACAAGGTGGTGGTGGACACAATTGTCATTTCATCCTTTTTCTCCCATGTTATCTCCTCTTTGCTCTCTTCCCTTCCGCCATTCACTTGCTCTTTTGCAGCAGCAGCCACAGCATGACACTGATTTACTAAGCACAAAGGTCAAGGTTCAAGGTTTCGATTGTACAAGTTTCCATCCACCATATCTGGCAAGACAAAGTCCCTTTTCAAAAACATGTAAAATATGTGTCTGAGAGTGTATATGTGTGTATTTTCTCTTCTCCGACACAGAAAAAAATCAACACATGCAAAATAATCTACTACACTTGATGGTATTTTTCCAAAAAGCTATGCTTTTTTTTTAAAAGCAAATGTGGGAGAGAGGTTTTAAAACTAATGGCTATTGTGCTACCAAATAAGCAAACACTAAAATCCTACATAAGGGGATCCGGATGCCAGAATCCCTAATAAATCTTATAGTTTAATAGAATAAAAAAGCAATACTTTGCAATTATTTTTCTATGTGCAGCGCCACAAATGAAATGCCCATCAGTTGCCTCAGGTTTCCCTGCTTGTCTGTCTTTTCTATCAGTCATTTTGTCAGTGTGTCTTTTTTATCCGTCAGTCTGTAAACATTATTCATTGATAGCACCTACATTACTCTCACTTTCTCATACCTATTGTGTCCTTTAGCATGGGCTTAAACCATAAAACCGAATTCTGACCAAGCACACAAAACCTAACTGGCAAAAACGACTGGATGCTCCACTCTGTGCCGCTCATCTCCTTTCTCCCTCTCTCTCCTCTTGCACTGCCAGGTGTCTCAGTGGCCATATTTGTCAGAGTAACAAGCAGCAGACCGCTGGACTAGCTCACAGTGAGCTAGTCCCTGCCCTCCTGGGACACCTCCATGTCTGGCCGCGACATCAAACGTGCCCATCTGGTCTCCCTGTCAGACCTGTTCTCCTCAACTAGTGAGCCCCAAGCTTGACAGTGGAGGTGGAAAGGAAAAAGGGGAGAAGGAGGAGGGGTTGACAGAGAGGTTCTCTCTCTCTCTCCCTCTAATTCTCCTCTCATATAATTTCTCCCATCCTCCTCACCACTTCCTCACTCATCTCAAACACAAATCAACTAGAGTAAGGGAGTCCTCCCTTACCGAAACTTAGGCCTTCTCTGTCCCACTAATGGAACTATACCATTTCCTACCCCTTTTCCAAAATTTGGGGATTAATGATCCCCCCTTTCCATTTACTCCCGGATACCTTATGGCAGAGTGCCGGCCATGCAGCCAACTCATTGGTACATGGCAGAAGATGGACATAAATGGTGATATCATCTGCAAAGAGAGTAGTAGTAGTACCGTCATACCCAAGTGGGCACAAGTTCTTTTGGGTTACAATGTCGAAGAGAAGAAGAAAAATGTAGTGTGGCTATGGCATCCCTTAGTGGATAACATAGTTGATAAATTATAATACAAACCCAGAGAGGAGTAAGGAGGAGAGAACACATTATTTCTTATATCAACTAAACATCTGACTCCAGACTGGGGATTTTTTTATAGACCCGTCTATTGCTGAACTGGGCTGAGTTTAGGACACCGCGTGGGGCCGGGTATGCACTAGTCTTATTGGCTGAGTAAGGCATCACATGCTCTTTATTGTACATGTCATTAGCTATCCGCCCGTCCCGTGAGCAGTATGAAGTGGTGGATTTAACGGAAGAGCGGAGATTGTTCGCATCGTTGCGTGTTTTGATGGGGGCCGCTCCAAGGACCGCTGCAGGTGAAGCCACCGCCAGCTGTTTGTAAATATCAGAGGAGCTACGCCCATGGACCAGTCTGCTGCTGGTGTCATCCCTCAGCGAGTGGCTGAGGAAAGGGTTTTCCGAGCCATGGGCCGGGTACAGGGACTTGCTCCTCTTGCTCTCCTCCAGGTTGTGGTTAAACAGCATTGATTTGGAGCCGGTGCCAAACAGTCTTCCGGAGTAGGGACGCATGCCGAAGAGGTTCGCATAATGCGAGTCAGATGCGGAGTCCAGGAAGCGGTCCTTCTCCTTGAGGCTGACGCTACGCGCCGGTCGGCCCAGGTCTACATCCTTGGGCTTTTCTAGCATGATGTTGTCAAAGGAATGCTGACGACTGAGCCTCAAGCGGTTTCTCTTTTGGACATGTGGCCCATCCGTCTGTGGCCAATACAGACCAAACATTTCGTCTGGTTGCTGCTGCTGCTGTTGGTGGTGCATGGTGGGACTGACCAAGGGGTCTGTGAGGAGCTGGTCCTCACTAATGTCATACAGGTTGGCCATGTGGATGCATGCTTCACACCGATTATAGGGTGAGCGTGTGGCAGAAGCTGCGGCAGAGGCAGTAGGCGTGTACGGCCCTGCTGGTGGGTAGCTAGCGGTCACTTTGGACAAGCAGGAACGGCAGTGTGTCTGTTTGTAGCGATCAATGGATTCATGTGGGGACAGGTTTTTCTCTTTCACGTTGTAGTGTTTAGAGTAAGTTGGGTCTGGTAGAAGATCTGAGTCTGTGTGATGCAAAGGCGAGGAATTCAGATGAATGATGGGCTGCTCACACTTCCTAAAGTTGTCGCTGTGGTCAGAGTAGATCTCAGGGTAATCCAAATCGTCTGCAGCGAGGCCACGACTCTCGCGGTAGTGAATGGGGTCTGAGTGCAGGCTCAGCTCTCGGTCTGAGTCGATGGTGTAGATTTTCTCTCCTCCTCCTCCTCCTCCTCCCCCTCCTCCTCCTCCTCCTCCCCCTCTACCGGTTTGGTTGGTTCCGCCGCTGACCTGCTTAGTCTTTAAGTAGGACAGCTCCACCTCACTGCAGTCCCTTGGGTATTTTGACGTCACCGATCTTTTTTTTAAGTTGTCCTTGGGCTTCAGGTGCTTGTTGTTTTCTGGGTCCTTGTAGGAGGCTGCCCTGCTGGAGCAGTCGGAGATGTCAGAGTGGGCTGTGTCCTCAGGGAGGTAGCGCTGTGTCTTCATCGACATACGTGGGTCTGGCATCAGCATGTCGGGCATCGGAGGGGGCCCAGGTGGCACTGAACGGAGCGTGTCCACTGACTTCTTCCACAGGGTCCGGGGCGGCTTGGCATTGGTCTGGACTGCGTCAGCGCTCACTGCCACCTCTACTGTGTTGGGATTGGCATCATTCAGGGTCAGAGGATGCTGGCCTCCCTGGAAGATGTAGTTGTTAAGGTGGTCTTTGTGGCGGTTAGCAAGGTACGACTGCAGGTCACCCGTATCCCCATAGATCATGTCTTTGGGAGCGTAGCTTCGGTTGTCAGCATAGATGAAGTTGCCCTTCTCTGCCATCATATCCATGATCATCGGGCCAGCTGAGTGCATGAACTCACGTTTGGGTGAGTTCATGCGCGAGCCACCCAGGTTAGATATGTTGGTCATCTGTTTGGCTGACTTGATGAGCTTAAGCATTTTGTCCTGAGGGCTAAAGTCCAGATCTGTTTTTTTCTTCATGTCAATGTGGACTCCATGGATGCAACTCCAGATTCCCTGCATGGAGACATATGGATGATCAAGTGGAATGGGGGGGGGGGGGGGGGGGGTGAAAATGAGGAAGGGTAACAGGAGAGAATGAGAAGATGAAGGATGAAGAGGGATTCAGGGGGAAATGGAGAGACACAAGCAGAATGATTACTTATCCACTCTGGCCAAACATATTTGTGATCTGTACACTTTATTGAAATTCATTAAATTAATGTTAAATGATAAATTGGTAGTGACTCAGCAAAACACAGTACTGTACATTCAACCAACAACAAAAACTTGAAACTTTGTTTTGTTTAAGATATGAATCTTCTAAACAACCATGACTGATTTTTGCAGTAGTAAAAACAACATAATAATGGAGGAAGTACTTAAGTAGAGAGTATTCAGAATAAATCATAAAGACACAAAGGCGACAAAACACACAGAATGTTGCTCAAGAAAATAATCATATCCATCCATCATAACCCAAAGAACAACTTTGTATACTTTCTAAATGGGACATTCAGACAAAATGTGATGTAATACAATGCAATGAAACGAGTCTGTCGACAGCTCCATCAGTTTTACAGCAAAACTCTATTTTACATCTGAAAACCTGTTACTTTGTGAAAAAATTTACCAGTGTCTCACAGGAAGTAGAATCCATTCAAACTAACTTAAATCAACAATCCTCTGAAAATACGAGAGGCTGGTTACATTATGTCTCAGAATTTTCTGCCCCAAGGCTCCCTTAGAGGCACTACAGGGTTTACACATTTTATTGTGAGAGAACAACAGAAAACAGCAGAAATTCCCATCAATTTGAGTGTGAGGGAGATTAAATAAAGTATGGGCTGTTTATATAGGTTAACTACTAAACAGCAACTGCTAATCTAAGGTCTGAAAGTAATGCCATAGAGCTCTCCTTCTGTGGTATAAGTCAGAAAAACAACCACAAATTCTTTCCTTGCTGCCACCATTTCCCTCTTCACAAATGCATCCTTAAGAGGCATTTATCACATTAAAAGAATTCAAAGTGCCTTTTCGGTTTAGCTCACATTTTGTGGGCCTTATCAACACAAGACAAAAGAAGTCTTTTGCCCTCAATCACTCTTGAGAATGGCTTTGAAATACCATCTTTCTCAAGAACCTCAGTTTATCTTCTCAAAGTTTTCTTCCCCCTCTTCACCATCCCTCTCTGTTAACTTTGCAAACAGTCACTCTTTGTGAGAAAAAAAAAAAAAAAGAGTGCAGAGACACTGCAGTGCTTTTAGGGATGCACGCTCATGTCTTTGGTTCTCACACACAACAAGGGAGAATGCTGACCTTTAAGCAGAATGAGACAGGATAGATTGATTTAACGTGGGTTGCCGTGATTTCACCCAAAAAAAAACATGCTGCAATTAAGATCTATTTTTGTCGATATTCAGGGCTGCCTCGTGATGCCTCCTCCTGCTTCCATCCCCATCCTCCCCTCTTATCCTCCTCTGTGCAGCCCTCCCTCCTTCCCCCTTGTTTCACGCAGTTTCTTAGTTTAGCAGTAGCTCTCTGTCTCTGCGTGTGTGTGTGCGCGCGCGCGTGTGTGTGTGGATGCTTGCTCTGCTCCCTTATTCTGCTGATAGAAAATAGAACTGAGACAGGCCCGTCTGACCCCGATAATGCAGCATTAGCCCCCAGTACAGCTGCAGTGCTTCGTTGCACCTTTTAGTCTTGAACACGACCACTGTTAACCCAGTCAGACCACCCCAGGCCCAGATATTCACACAGCCTCACACTCACATGTGTACACACTCCATGGCCTGTTTCTGGGAGTTGACCACTGAGCCAAACTCCAGACTGTTGCACCAAAGCTGTGTCTTGTTTCCATTAAAAATGTAATTCTATGTGAAGCTGTAGCAGGTATTTGTTTTCCCAAACCACACAACATACTAAATAATGCTTGTAGAACATGTCTGCGCATACAAACATACGCCTCCTGCGCACAAACCAGTTCTTACCCGACTGATGGAGAAAAGAAGACCCGGCGTGCCGGAGCAGACCCCAGTGAAACAGTATCTGAGCCTCCAGTAGAAGAGATGCTCAGAGACGAAGGTGATTAGGGAGAGCCCCATGGCTGTGGCCAGCATGTAGAAGACCCCAGCCATGTTGTCCACATCCAGCTGACTGGACATCACCTCGTTCTTCTCATTGTGGCAAATTCCTGTCAGCCACTGGGCTTCTAGTTCCTCCATTTCACCTGAAAAACAAAAGAACAGAAAGAGAGAGAGAGAAAGAGAGACAGAGAGAGAGAGAAAGAGAGACTCAAATCCTTTACTAAGTGGCTTTTCGGGGTTTGATACCAATGAATTTTAAGCTTAGGCATAATATACAAGTTTGCCCCAGGGTTTTCTGCTAGTGCATACGATGTCCAGCTGTGTCTTGTTTTCATTAAAAATGTAATTCTATGTAAAGCTGTAGCAGTTTTTTGTTCTCCCAAACCACAAAACAGGCTAAACAATGCTTGTACAACATGTCTGCACACGCAAACATACACGTCCTACACACAAACCAGTCCTTACCCGACTGATGGAGAAAAGAAGACCCGGCTTGCCGGAGCAGACCCCGGTCAAACAGTATCTGAGCTGCTTCTCAACTCTACCATCACACACTTTTGAGGCTGTAAGTAAAGAGCTTTTATGGGTCTCTCAATCACAACAATAACAGAAGATGCCGTTTGACGACGTCGTGAAATAGCGTGAGACCACAGGAGTTGTTTTCTTCATTGTTGAACAACTCATTGCCGTTTTATTTTTAGGTTAGGATTCCTTCTGGGTTCATCATTCAGGAGGTTTTCACCGGGACTCCAAATATCCGCAGAGGTCTCCTCCTCTCCAAAACAAAAAGGACCAGGTGATTAAATCTGGTAAAAACACTGAATGAAGCAGTCTTTTGGGCAGACAGGACATCAGGAGGGGCTGCGAAAGATCCAGATGTTCGATGACTAAGATCCCTCATTAGTTTAAGGTTATAGTTTTACGTTTATAAAAAGTGACAGTGACGTGACTTGAAACAGTAAGAAAGTAGTTGGCTGGAAATGTTTTAATATCCATCTATCTGGCTGACAGCCAGCACTTATGAAAAACACTGTTTATATCCTGATGCTAAATTATACAGTATGAGACAGAAATTTGCAGTTAGAATTGCTACTCAAGTCACTTTGCATGTACATAAAACGTTCCATAAAAGCTGTTGTAAAATCTTATCTACTAGCATTTCAATTCTTTTATTTTTTTTTTTTGTTTCGTAAATATTTGAGATTATCTGCAAAGAAAGTTTGTATTACTTTAAAAGTATATGTGAAGTATCATATAGTGTTCTAAATTGTATTTCAGTAGTTTTCCCTCCAATTAAAGAATGTCTCCAGATTTTTCATAGTCAGATTTAAAGATTTATAATCTGTGTTTATGAGTGCATTAAAAAAAAAAAAATCCGTCAGCCTATATAAGTATGTTGAATGCTAATATATTTCTTTAATCAACTGGTTTTGCGTGGGCCGTGGTTTAAAATAAATATCTTTGGGCATCACCAAGCAACTGGGCTTCCAGTCCCTTCTGTGTTCCCTGATAGGGCAAAGAGATAGTTTAGTGCTAATGAAAGAAAGGTAGAAAGCAACAAAGACCTTATCTTTTCCCATTCCTCACTCTGTGTTCCCTTCCCTCTGTTCCCCCTCCCTCTCTGGCTTCCTCTGTGACATTTGGCGCGTGGCTAATCCAATCTGTGTCATTCAGGGCTGGATAACTAAGGCTGCTAGTGGGGAAAGACAAATATCTTGGTGGGGTTCAGCTCGATGTCTTGGGGCTGCAGACTCACTAAGACATCATTAACCCTTTAGGACAAGTGAGGAGAATTTGTCTCCTGGTAGATTTGCAAGACACTAATAGATGCAGCCATGGTACATCTTTGTTTAATTTGACATTATGACATGCTTGGAATTGGCTGCAGAAGAGAGTTAAGATAAATGAGAGTTTTAGGTATCAACAGGTCACTTTGTCTTGCTCTCTCTCTCTATTTTTTATTTATTTATTTTTTATAAATCGAGTGCATTCAAGGGAAAAGCTTTGGGGAGCTGCTCCTGTCTGCACTGTTGCTCTGACTCCGGGGGGGAAGTATTGCTGAAATTCAAATTTTGTTCTCTTTTCAGCAGCCAGGCGGCTCAGGCAATAGTCTGGTGGCCAGTCAGCTGGAACACAGGAACACAAGTCTCTACAAGTTTCATCCACACTTTCAGGGCTTTTAAAATTGTTTTAGTTGAAGCACCTATGAATGAAAAAAACAAAACAAAAAACATTTATTTTAAAGTACATGAGCGCAGCTTTGAGATGCTATCTTCTCCATTACATTATTATGAACCACAAACACGAAATCCATTCTGGTTCAGGACACTCACTTAATGCAAGTTTCTTCAGAATGCTTATCTGCACCCTGAAATAACTCTTCCTCGGTTCCTCACCCTGACTGGATCATATTTAGTTCTGACAGATCACAGTCTTTCCACACTGTCGAACCGTATGAATTTGGGCGACTGTCACTGCTCCAAGGTGAACACATTTGATCAGGATAGCGCTGTCTGAAACTAGGATTAACAGGTGGGAAGAGTACAAAATTTGAACATTTCCATATTGCCAAGCAGGTACTGGTAACACAACAGGATATGAAAGCAAAGTATTGTCATTATATGTATATTATGACAACATGTAAGACCCTCTTCAATGAAAATTAAGTTATACACCTTGTTAACATGTCCACATGGGGTTATTTTTTCATATGATACAAGATGAGTGAAATAAGCAGTCAACACCATGACTGCATATTTCCACCTTGGAACTGCAGTGAACCAATGACAAGGTTTCATATGTCACAAACTTAAGGAACCAATCATATCAACTTGCCCGAGGGGGCTGCAAAAGAAACCCGAAACCTTGCCATTACAGGGAGTGAGAGTTTGCATTAGGACAACCACTAAAACTGTGTCAGAAGCTACCAGTTGCAAGCTAGTAAGCTATCAAACAACATAAAAATCTAAAAGATGCTAGCTACGCTTACCGTTCTGTTACGGCTGCTAGTCGCCGTTTCTGGTCTGGCTCTTACTGAGCCTCAAACGTGGCTGAGGCTCTCTGATGTTTCCTCCGCTAACCATCTTGATGCACACTGCTCTTTTACTGGCCTGATGCAGAATTTCTCAGTGAGGAAGGAAGCGTAGATGTGCTTCCAGCCCCTTTTCAGACTTTTTTGTTTTTCACTTTTTATGTGGGGGAAAACCATGTTAAACGAAATATTGATCAAAGCAGATTATCTTTACTTAGTTTAAAAGGTGCCTGCAGGGGAACTTTAACCGTCAAAATGGGACCTGCCGCTGGTTCAGCCATGTGTTCACCAGCCCAAGTGATCCCAGACAGCCTGTTTTGTCTCTGTCTGTCTGTCTATTCGTCTCTTTGTTCTTCACCTTCCTCCACTCTTCCCCCGAAGAAGCCACATCTTCTCCCTGTCTCCTCTCTGTCCGCGGGAAGCCATATGCTCTCCACCCACATTGTGTCTATCTGATCAAGTAGCATCTGCCAAGACACCGAGTCACTGTCATCTATCAAGGAACCTGCCCTCCTCTCACTCCCCATCCCTCCCTCTCTCTCTCTCGCTCGCTCTCCACCTGACACGCGCTCTTTCCTCGTGTTCCTCTCATCCCGTGCTCCCCGTCTCGTCCTCCCTTCGACCTCACTCTGGCCATCACACAGTCACACCATCTCTGTGTGTTTTCTCCCTCACTGTGTTTTCTCCCTCTCTCTCTCTAGATCTGTCACACTCTCTCTTTGCAGATCTTTTATCTCTTCCTCATTTTCTATCTCTCTTTTTCTCTCAACCTATTCTAGTTAATTAGTTAGCAGCATGTTGGAAAGATAATACAGATTTAAAACATCCTCAGTGTATATTTACATTGAAAGGCCATGCTTAAACAGCTAAGTATGAAAAGACTGGATGGGATTAATGATCAGGAGAAGAAGACAAAGCCAAACAAAAACACTGAGTCTGATTTTTGTCAAAGATTATCCAGCCATGAAATATAATGGAGTGTGGCCTGCATGCTCTGCAGCCCTGATAAGATTTGGTTAGAGAGGATTATTGTGACACCAATGTTCATTTAATCAACTTCAGTGCACTTAATGTGAGTGGCTGTGAACACTCGCATCAGCAAAATGCTTTCGATGTAAAATGTAAATGAATCTGTCACTAAAAGCTCGAGCTGTCTTGCTTTCCTCTCCGTTTTGCAGTAGGAAATTGTTTATGTAAGAACTTCTGAAGCTACTGTAATAAAGGAATGTGGTGATTCAGATAGAGTAATGCGTATATACACACACACACACGTACAAATCTGGTGCTGCAAAGAAGAATATATTAGAATAACTTACACACTTTGCCCTCTGTTTAGAGCAGCCTTTTGTGTCCAGAATAACATCAAAGGACTATTTATACTTCACCGCTTTCCCTTTGTGCTGTCAGCAGACAAGGCAGTAGAGATGTGCACGTGTGTGTGAGAGAGTGGAAGTACCTGTGCATGAATTTACAATGCTGCCAAGGAATAATGTAACCTTTTGCCTTCGTGGATAGCTTCATGCACTCGGAATTTGTGTACGAGAACGCTGTGTGAGTGTGTTTCTCACCATCTCCGATGATGGCCAGGATAGCCAGATCCACCTGCCGTTTCCAGTAGGACCCTTTCTGCAGAGCAATGCCGTAACCAGTGGTAGCAAAGATGTACCTGAACACAAGCACGTCCAAACAAACACACACACACACACACAAAACACACATTTGAAACTTTATATCTGCAGATGGTGTCACTGCGATTCAAAATATCTTTGAGGAGATACCTCATGAGTAATGATGCACATCAATGTCATGAACTGGAAATATGGGTCAAAAATATTCAGTCGAAACTAAACACTAAAACTGTTTAAATTTATTCTTGGTTGATCCCAGATACAAGCAGCCCAAGTCCCTGGCCATAAATAATCTCATACAGCTACAGCAGCTGTATGAGATTTATTTTATTTATTTCTATTATTATATATCTAAATTCCAAGTGTCTCATATTTATTAACTTTTACTGCAGAGTGACTGCTGCAGGCTATCCTATCCAAATATAATCAAAATTAGAACCAAATTTACATATGTTTCAATGAGAATGTCCAAATGCTTTTGGGGAATGAAAATGTAAGGTAGGCACATTTTGACACTATTGACACATTAAACTGCAATCAAATTGCATTTTGGGAAGCACACTTATTTGCTTTCTGGCTGATAGTTAGATGAGAGGATCAATGCCACTCTCATGATTGTAAGCTATATATGAGCAGCTGGCTTAGTTTTAGCATAAACACTGGAAACAGGGGGAAACAGCTAGCCTGTCTTTGTCCAAATGTAATAAAATCCACCTACCAGCACCTCTAAAGCTCACTCATCAACACGTTGTATCTCATTTCTTTACACCGTACAAAAACCAAAGTGTAAGAACATCAAACAGGAAGAGGTTATGTGCCTGACAGTTTGTGTTCACGACAAGCGGCAACCTCCGGGGCTGAAAAGTGAAGCCAACGCAGAAGTGCCCGAAACTGCAGTTCCTCGAATGGCCACTTGAGGCTGGCTTCAAAAGAGAGTCAATCCCCATAGACTCCCATGTTAAAATGCCCAACTTTACAGCAGAAATAAACATGTTTACAGCCTGGTACAAAAAATGGTTTAATCTCTATAGCTAATAAATAAAGATGGACATAGCCTCTACGACGTCACCCATAGGTTTCTGAAGAGTGGTTTTGAAGGTCAGAGTGGGCTGCTCTGCCATCGCCATCTTGGCAGTGCCTGACTCTGCCTAACTCCCGACTGACCTAAAAATAGGCAAAGAGGAGGGGTGTGTGTGGAGCCGAGATTTCAGTGAATGTCTGTTTGTGGCAAGCATACGCTCATCCACCTGTCACTCAAAGCGGCACACCTGCAATTATGCAGCACTTTAAGCCTTAATAAAATTTAAACTGGTGAGTTACATAAACATTCACCTCCCGTACAGTTGTCATAAAGGAGGAAAATAGCTGTACAGACCGAACTGTTTTTTGTACCATGCTGTACACGTTTTTGTTACTTCTGTGTTGGCTTCATTTTTCTGGCTCGGAGGTTGCCGCTTGTTAATTTCCTCCTTCATGACAACGACAATGGGAGTAAATTTGTATAAAACTCATCCATATAAACTTTATTAAGGCTTAAAGTTATGGATAATTGAGGCCCTGACCACTTTGAGTGACAGGTGGGTGATTGAATGCTTGCCACAAACCGACATGCACCGAAGTCTCAGCTCCACACACGCCCCACCTCTTAACCCATTTTTAGGCTAGCTGGGAATCAGGCAGAGTCAAGCACTACCAAGATGGCGACGGCGGAGTCAGTGGAGCAGCTCACTCTTAGTTTCAAAGCCACTATTCAGAAACCTATGGGTGACATCACAGAGGCTCCATCTTCAAGACCAGTGACTTCCTGACCAAGAGTGTATTTCCCAAAATGATGAACTTGTCCTTTAAGACTCTATATGTGTGATGGCACAAAACCTCTGTCCAATAAAAAAATTACAATTTCAGAATCCATGTAGCTTGAATATACATCTGTGCAGTGTAACCTTAAACAAACATAAAAAAAAAACCCTTTACACAACTTACATTGTGGTTTGGATCACACATCAGGATCACATCAAGGCCTGCAGACAATCCACACTGAAAGTGTATTTTTAAGGAATTAAAGCTCTAGTTACCCGCTGCCAATGGTCACCAGCTTACATCCTTCATCTCTGCCGGCCATGTAGTTCAACACTGCAGCATCATAGATGAAGGCGTCCAGTTTACTGCAAAGGAAGAGAAAGAAGAACGGAGGAGAGAGACAGAGGAAAACAGACAGAGGGAAGGGATGAAGACAAAGCATCAGGGGTTTCAAATGTTTTTTAAAGAGAGTGAAGTGCACAGGAGGAGACAGACAGCAGAAGAGGGGCTTATTTTTCAGAATGTGTTGTTTGTGGATCAATTCTAAAGTGTTAAATCATCTCCAATAGGACTGCAATCCAAGCATAACCAAACACATAGAGGACACAGTGGGGAGTGGCTGCGGTTCAATACAGCACGCTTCACTGATGATAGGACCTTGGAGGCACATGGACGACCTAAACAAACACACAAACAGACACAAACATTTACACTGTCTCTCACTCTCGTTCTGCCTCTGTCCACACACACACGCACACAAACAAGCAGGTTGCGAAGTAGAACGTAAAAGATCCCAGACTCAGACTGACATTTTCAATGTAACTGATGCTGTCACTAACCACTGCTCTCTCACTCTCTCCGAGCTCGCACACTCTCTCTCTCACACACACACACACATATACACGCGGAGAGCCCTGCTAATAGTGCAGTGACTGGCTGGCATTTACTGAATGTCAGATCCAGCCCTCTAACGGAGGCTCACAGCCGATAGTTTAGCTGTGTAATTAGCTTAACCCAGCACTGGCTCCATCCACACGCAGGCTGTGTGTTCAAACGTGGGGAACCAGACGTGTGTGTGTGTGTGTATGCTTCAGTATGTGTGTGATTGCGCAGATGTGGTTGTGCACTGGTGCATGTCTGTGAGCTTGGATTTGTGCGTGCATGTTTGCGGACGCTAGCCAGACATACTGTAGCTCTAATGGCTTGGAGAGGGATTCGGCCATTGCTGATGTGTCACATCTTTGAATAAAAAATAGCAACACAGATTTCCTTGGCACTTTCCTTCTATACCTTTGAATGACGTCTTTAACACAGCAGAATGAGCTTTTAGTGTGACTCTGAATCTCATTTCACACCACTACAGGACAAGCCCTCAGTACAGTACAGTACCTGTCAACTTAACTACAGCACAAAAACCATCTAGACTCAAATACAACATTGTAACAGAGCCGCATTGTATATCCTAATCCAAAATGACTTCACTAATTCAGTAATTTCACAAGTACTGTATATCCATTTTGCCCACATAGAAACTTTTTAAGGAGTTGAAACTTTTGCCAGGACATTTAATGTGCAAAAATGTTCCAAAATCACAGCCTCAAACCCCAAGCACATCAAAAAAAAAAAAAAAAAAAACTGTTTCAGTTAAAACATGCAAGGCTGTCTTCCGACTGACAAGAGCACTGCGTCATAAAAACTCAAGGGGCTGTGTTGGTGTGGCTACGTGTTACCAGACAGAAAATGAAATGCAAACAGTTCAGGTTGAAGGCTCATGAGATGCCAAGACTCTTTGGCTTGAGGCAGGATTTTACCACTCTGCTGCAAAGTTACAGTCACAGCGGCAACAAATCCTCTGCTCCATGTATTTACATTTGCATGCTGAACATTTTAATTTGCGGAGTGCTGTATGGTTCACAGTACATGATATTCCAATGTGTGTACTTCTGCATGGTTCTGACTGGTAAATGGAGCACGTTGGAACAAAGGTAACTTCTTTTGCCAGAGCCCTCTGTTTTTGGACTCCCCACTGTGCTAACACTGGGGTCTCATTGAAAATGAATGAAGAGGCTGTGTTTTGTTTTTTTTTTCTTCTTTTTTTCCGTTTTTCACAGTCCTTGTGTCAGTTTGATCACTTGCAGCTTGTTGGCATTGTGCAGTATATTTGTCCCAGATATAATTGCAGCGGTTTAATGTGTTATCATTCATTTACTTATAAAAAATAATCTGATACTTTGAGGAATTTCGTTCTTGAAATGTAACCGAATCAATTCGGCTGCCCTGTGCATAGTTTTGGTTCTTGTGGCTGTAACAGATTCTGTGTGTAAAGCCTGTCAGCATTATGTGTGATGAGAGCTAATCCAGCCATCGAGCCTCAAACAGCTGAACGCTGCACTGTTGCTCATGTACTAATACCACAGAATAGAATTATCAATGAGGATATTACTGACTGCACACACCTGCAGCCGACTGTGTGCACAGATATACAAGAGTATGTATTTTCCTTTTATTTCTAGGCATGTTGCTTGTGTGTGTGTGTGTGTGTGTAGCACTAGTTTACTGAGGTATTTGTGTGTGCGTATGCATGTTTACACGTGTGCTGTATGTTAATGCAACAGCAAAGGCGGAGAGTATTATAGAGGCTGGAGTGGTTTAAGCTGTTTTTGTATTTACATCCAGTTTATTTATGACTTATGGATGAGAGAGAATGAGCTGGAAGACATAACTGCATAAAAATCATGGATCATGAATCATATCCTATTTGTTGTGTGTGTATGTGTTTTTTTTCTCCTCTCTCTTCCATCCCCGTGAGGCAGCCTGTCCTCTGGGCTGAGAGCACTGATTGGATCCCACCCCATAGCCATTAACCAATCAGAAATAACTTCTTGTCATATCATCTCATCAACCTTTTGTCCTTTACCTTTACCATTTTTTCTTTTCCCTCCCATCTCTCCATTCCTTGACGCCCCCCTTCTTTTCCAGTCTGCTTCCCCTCTCTCACTTCCCACTCCCTTCTCTTACCCTCAATTTTCCCTTCCCTTTTCCGTTGGCCCCCTTTTCATTCCATTACCACTTTCTTCTCTAGTCTCTTGGCCCCTACTTCCTGCCCTCCATCCTTCATCATTTCCTCCAATCAGATACTTTGCCCTTGGCCCCCTACCCCACCCCTTTTTCTCTTTTTCCCATGTGATGGTGTGATGAGAGTCACCCCTCTGCCTCTCCTCCTTCCTTTTCTTTTTACCGTCTTTACCTCCACTTTTCTATCCATCCAACCCTCTCAAAGTGCTCCACTCTTTCAATCTGTCCTTGGTTATCCGTGTGATAACCCTCCCCCCTTTCCCTCTCTTACACACACATACACACACCACCACTATCACCACCAGTCCCATTATAGAGACCAGTACTAAAAATAGCTCCTGCTGTTCCCAATGAGGAAGCCCATTCATCCCCAATCTCAGAGGAGCTGTCACACACACATGTGACACCAAGTACACTCACAGACATGCAATTACACACACATTTATGTGTAGGTACAGACACTTGCACACACACAAAATCAGGTAGACAAAGGAACAGTTTTGCATTAGTCAAACAGAAATTGATCATGGATCACTAAAGATCAGTGCGCTTACTCACAAAAATGCACACAAACTGTTTCCTCACCCTGTTTTGAGGCTGACCAGTGCGTCCTGGACGCCAGTTTGATGATATTTCACCATGTACTGGTGCATGGCAGGGTAGTTCTTCCTGATGTTCCTCTCTGTGGATCCATTTGGAACCGTCCCGAAGCGGAACGGAGGCGAGTATGCATACGGGTTCTGAAACTGTGGCAGAGGAGAGAAGAATAATGGAGAGGAAATAAGAAGGAAGAGGAAAAACAGAGGGAACAGCAAAGGTTAAAAATAAACACAAAGAGAAGCAATGAAACCCTACTGATAAGAGATGAGTTACAGAGAAGCAAAAGACTTTCCTGTGATTCTTTAAACTCTTGATTAGTTTCATTGCAGTTACTTCTTCCATGTTTAAGAACTAATAGATTAGGCTTTAAAAAATTGCAAAGGACATATTTGCAACTGAAAACAGGGTCAATCACATTAGATTAGTTTTAAAATGGGCAACAAGGGTTTACATACAAGCCACAATGAAACAGCCCAAAGTTGAATTTTAATCAAATACACTGTTACATGAACCTGTTACACACTGTATATTGTTTACAACCTTCATGGTTATACAATGAAAAGAAATGTACATGTACATCAGGAAGCATATAAACTGTTAGCTCCTATCATGTCTTCCTACCTGAACATGTCCTGCAAATGCAGATAATTCTAATGGATTTTCTAATATTTGGTATCACAGAGAGATTTTTTTAATTTCATCATTTTATCACTACAAAGTCCTGTGTTTCTGTGTGTGCATTACATCCTGGGACTATTATTTACCAGTGTCAGACATTTGTTTTTAACTGAATAGAAATGCAGTATCTGTAAAAGCTGTGTTGTACCATGGGTAATAGCAGCAACCACACAGGGTGGAGAAATTCACAAAAGTAACCCGTCCACGCAATCTGTACCGCAAACTAATCACAACACTGGGTTGTTAACAAAGGTCTTTCCTTTTGTTGGAATATTTTCACTTCATCTCTGATTTGTCTCCTCCTTTTTTTAATTCTCCATCCCCCCCCCCCGCGTCTCTCTCAGGTATAATCTAGTCAGTGTACAGGTCAAGGGTTTTGTAGTAGTGTGCTTGTCGCTGCGATAACAACCTACCCTCAAGCACTGCGGTAACAATCTGCCCTCAGTGCCAGAAATACACAAACCCTATCAATTAGAAGTGTGTATTATGAGCTCCACTCTAACCACAAAGTGTGTGTGAGTGTGTGAGGATGTTGTCTGGCATTGAGGAAGAGTGGTTTTACTAAATATTATTAAAACCGCTCTGTAAAATAATATTTGATGCCATTTTCATATACACGTCTGTTTTGCTTTGATTTCACATATTCATACAACACAGTAGTGACTCAATGCAAAGGCAGCGCGTAAGGGATTTTATTTGCATAGTGTTAGCATTGCTGTTCTTCTTGCTGTATGTTACACATCTGTAAATATCATCTGTGTATTTACATTGCCAGAGTTTCAATTGTTTATGTGATGTATCTACATAATACATATGTAAATATTTACAGATGTTCACGCATGCATGTATCTGTCTGCACACATGTACATCTCTATTGTGTAACCGGGTCAGGGTGAGGGCGCGCGTTGATAAGTCAAACTCTACTGTGCATGTGCATGTGTTAGCGGTGATGTCACGCAGTGTGTGTGTCAGCATCACAAGCGATAGGCCCCTGGAGACACTGTCTCCTCACGCAGTAACTCCTATTGTTTCCCTCTCCTCCCCTCATCTTTCGCTCCTTTGTAGCTCTCTTACGGTGGAGCTGTAACTATAAGGTCAGAATAGGGCACATGTGAAAAGGGGGGGGGGGGGGGGGTGCATCGCCGGTTGGAATCGCCAGGCCCGGCTGGGGAAATGCAGATTGGGGAAGTGCTCTTCTCTTGCTGGATAATTACCAGTGAAGGGCTTTTGAGAACTGCACCAGCTGCTGCTAATGAAAGCTTGATGTGGAGATGATGAGAAAATGAAAGAGCGGAGGCCGAAGGGGGACAGGTGGAGATAAGAGTACTCACCGCCCCGCTTCGTGGTCATGACCGACAGCATCGCACTCTCACAAAACTACAGAGTCGATATTGAGATTTTGTTCACAAACGATGGAAATGAATTCCCAACTTTTTCTACCAAGAGATCCTTATGTGCTCAATTTGTAAATTGTAAAACGCAAATGGAACATACAGACATATACAGTGGACACATACACTGTAGATGTCAATATATCAGTCTGAGAAACCTTTAAGGGTGTCATGCGACCCCGAGTGTGATCCCACTGCCATGACGTCACCTCAGCTCATCCGGCCTCCTCTCCAACTATCTACCCTTCTCTCTTCTTCTCTCGTTTTGTCCCACATCTCTTTAGTTGTTCCTCTTCCTCCTGCTCCTCCCCTGTAACCCGCTCTATCTCCTTATTATGCAAGTTCTGCTGTTATATAAGCAAAGGACTCCCTTCTGTATGTGTGTCTAACTGTGTCTTTGTCTATGTTGTGTGTGTGTGTGTGTATCTCTTGTATCTCTCTTGAAGCAGGGTTTCTCAAGGACCTTGTGTGTGATTTTCTTCATTATTATTTTGGTTTTAAGCAGTATTGTCGTGTCACTGCAAAGTGTTGACTTGTTGATCAGCTTGTAATCTTTTTCCTTAAACTTTCTGTTGTTTAAATTGGATTTTTCTTTGTATCCACAGAAACCTTGAAGCTAGGATCTGAATCTGAAAATGGATTTACAGCCAATCTTTAAACGCAGTCCTAATACCTTGCTCTAAATGGTGTAAAGTGGTAACACTGCATCTTTCAGCACTTTAAAGAGAGAGACACTACATTATCCTGTAGATCAATGGTTAAAGTCATATAACAAGGTGATACTGGTGTTGTAGTAGAAATTGGCCAGTAAAAAGTAAGTTGTGAGATGTTTTCTCTTTAAGCACATAGTCATTACATTAATACATTGTTATTGCCTGTAAAATCTCACCTCGCCTAAATGGGCAGGTTAAAACATTTCATGAGTAGTTCCAGCAGTAGTTTTAGCAGCAATATTTTTTTTTTTTCCAGGATGAATCTTGACACATTTTTAGGAATTAAAAAAAAGGAAGCTTTAATGATTACTGTATTTATGTCACTGAACCAACTGAACTCAAGAGGTTTGTTTCTATCTGGGATTTGTGTTTCAGATTTCTAGACTGATCGAAGTGGGAAGTTCCAAAACCTGTTCGCTGCTGTTATCATGTCACTATGACAAACTGCAACAACCCCAGCACAGCACTTGTTAGCTCAAGTTTGAAATCTTAAAGTCTGTGACACTAAAGACGTGCTCAGCTATCAACAGTTGAGAACAGCATGTCCTCTTCAACAAGCAGAGGCAAATAAGGCAGTGTTGTACAGAGAAGTCTGTGTTGGTTGTTGAGCCTAAAAAAACGTAGACCTGTTAACTGACTGGCTGCCTGTTTTCTCCCTATTTTTAAAAAAAGATTAGAACAAATAGTGTATCCTTTTACATTTTTACCAGCAATTTGTTTTATTGTACCTCGCCACAGGAAGCTGTGTTGTATTTCCACTGGTGCCTCAATGATGTAATGTATTTGCATTTGCATTGAGATTTTCTGGGGACTCCTCCAATACATATGTAAAAAACCCAATGTATGTGCAGACTTGCTTTAGAAAAAAATCATCTGCTGAGTGTAATGCAATGTAATGTTTCCACGGTTGGAAAAACAACCAATCCAATTAGTGTTTCTGTAAGTGGGACCATAGTCGCACACTGTACACACGCTGTGCACTATATGGAAACAGTGCAAAAATGACAGAGTGCTCAAGTCACTGCAATATTGTTCTGAAGTGATGTGTGACCAACCCGCGGCTTAAACTAAAAATACTGGCCTTACATCTACGTGATAAGACACAGCTGCAGTGGGGTGACCATGTTGCTCTGCGTCTGCTGGGTGTGTAAGTGGGCAACTGTTTGCTAACATGTTAACCAAAGGAACCTGATAGGCTGATGTAGTCTGAGGCATCTTTGTTGTGGCTTTGTTCTGCAGTGTCTCAGCCCTCTAGTGGTCCAGTTGAAGCAGTTTTTAAAGGAGTATTCACTGTCAGGGATCTCAGTGGGGAATTTTCTTCATCATCTTGCCGGTCACAGTTGTCACGATGTCCAGCCTCGCTCAGCATATCTGTCTGAATGGCCATTTACCCTTTTTGTCTGGTTCCTTTCTTCCCTGACCCTCTCTGTCTTTCCGTATCTCTTTTGCTTTCTCCCTCCTCATGCCGTTCCTTTCTCCCCACCTCAGCCGTCAACCTGGCCCATATCTGTCCGCCTGTTGTCTTGTAACATCTTGTGCGTCTTGGCCTCTCGCTATTCCTCAGTCAACCTCCTGCCAGTTGCTGTACCCCTTCTTCCCTCCCTCCCCCTGCCCCCCCTCTCCTTCTGCATGTTGTCAAAACCCTCTACATCATTCTCAAACACTCTCTCCTTGGTAGCGTCTCCCTATACATCTGTCCTTCTCTCCTCAAGGAACTCTTTACCCCTTTGTCTTGTTTTTCTTTTCTTTTCTCTACATTTAGTTTGACTTTTTCCTTTGATGTTTTAGCTTCCTCATCCTACATGACCTCCTTTTCCACTTTTCTATATTACTTTTCTTATCTTTCCTTTCTTGTCTATAAATTCTTTCACTTCAGTGCCTATTATCACAGTTGTACATGTGTAATAATTTCACATTATGGCACAACAGTGGTGTGGGAAGCAATGTAGGAAAACTACATTTTGCAACCATTTAAGACCAAGAGATAAAATACCTGCATAGATATGTGTGGAATATTTCATCCCCCAAATGACAAATGTAGTATGCAGTATGCATGTCCAGTCTTGATGGCTTGAGCATTTAAATCCAAACACAATTCCAAATATTTGATATATGTGGATCCAAATGTCTGGGGAGAAATGTGAATGGTTTTTAGTGGCTTTTCCACACTTGTCCCCTCGCTTTCAAACTTGTTAAACCGCCAGCCGAGAAGGCTGCAGCTGTTGCCATGGTTGCAACAGTGAACATCTTATCATACAACAGTTATACATGCATACACACTGTGTTATTTTTTTCATTATGTATCACTATACTGTTGTTGGAAGAATGAAGTGAACAATGACACAAATGTTAGCTAGCTAGCTAATAGCAGCGATTGTCACTTTCGGTAAGTCCAAAATGACCGCGTTCGACTTGATATTCGATTTGACACCCAATCCAACACGCTCTACTCAAGTAAGAACATAGTGTAGACAGTGCACTCCATGGAAGTATCCGAAATGAGACAGAGCAATTTGCCAGATGTTACTGGTGAGGTTGTAATTACAGACACTTGAATTACTTCATAAAATGGTAGGTACTAACTGTCATTATGTATATAAAGCATTTATTCTATGCATGGCACATTTACACGTACGCTTTGCTTTTGCAGCAGACGGATATTTGTTATCTAAAATGACCACCACAAAGCTAGCCTTGTCTTAGGATCCACTTCTGAGTAAAATGTATTAGAAAACATTGTTAAACTTGGAACTTTAAGCCTTTGAGGGGCACAGAGAGGTTGACAGGTCAATCCACCAAAATCCCCACTGGGTGACCAGAGCTTTTAAAAATGAGAAATGCCTCAGAGCCATTTGGAATAAATATGTGACTGAACTCCACGGCTGCAACCAAAATGCAAACACAAACCTTTCAAGGTGTGGTTTGTCATTTTCTTTTCCAAGCTAAATCCTCAACTAATAAAGAAACCACCATCCAGCCAGTCAAGTCAACAAACCATATCTCCCATTTGTTCGCCCTTACCTTGTTGTCAGAAAGCCCGGTGACTTGGTCGACAAACTCCTCCTGGATCATGAAGGCGGCCAGGTTGGCAGTGTAGGAGGCCAGGAAGATGACAGCGAAGAAGGCCCACACAGACACTATGAACTTACTGGTGGTGCCTTTCGGGTTTTGCACTGGCACAGAGTTGTTGAAGACCAGACCCCAAAGCAGCCACACGGCCTTGCCCATGGTGAAGGAAGGGCCGTGGGGGTCTGAGAGAGAGGACGGGGGAGAGAATGACAGATGGTTCAGACGACAATTAGGAGAAAGATAAGATGACATAAAAAAAAGAATACAAAATCTGGAAAAGATCTTAATATCTTGTGACGTGTGCTGTTAAGGCTGATGCTCACCTTTTCCCTGTGCCAAGTTTCTGTTAAAGCCCAGAGGACTGATGTACTCAAACATGAAAACAGCCATTGCAGTCACCAGTAGGAGCATCACAAACATCATCACCCACACTGATGCACTGAATGGCTCTGAGAGAGGGAGAAATAAGAGGAAAGAGATTAAGCATTAACACATGTTGGGTTAAATTTTTACTTTTTTTTTTTTTTTCTGATTTTCACCCCCTTTCTGTCTTTCCATGAACTTAATGAATAAATCAATCACACACACACACACACACACACTGGGGAAAGAACCGCATGGATAACTAGCTGACTCCTGCATGTTCACAGACACACACACACACTTGCATATACACAGGCACACCTCCTATTTGACAGTGTGAGGAGGTGTACAGTATAGGAAGCCCTGGTGTCAGCACTCCTGTCCTCCCTCTGAGCTCACAACACTACTGCAGAGATTAAACCCCACTCTAATGTATGGGAGAGCACTGCACTGTGCATGTCCAAGTATATGTATGTGTGTGTGTGTGTGTGTGTGTGTGTGTGTGTGGGCTGGCAAGCAGCCATTATGGAGTTTTCCTGCTAAGCCCGTATAATTGCCACTTTCACAGCACTAACTGCATGCTGCATACATGTCAGTGTGCGTACCTGCGTGTGTGTCTTTTATCCCCCTGCGTGTGTGTTGGCATATGCATGTGTTTCTCTCTGCACTTTTATGCAGTCATACGTGCCGTCTTATATGTGAGTGCAGGAGCTTGGATGTTGATGCTGAAATGCTACACATCAAGTCAACGTGGCTGAGCAGCCGTAACGGAGATATCCGTGGTCACTCAGGTTAATATCCTGCGGTTAAGTCCCTCTCAGGTAAGTGAGAGTCATTGTGGCAGGAAGCAGGAGTCGAACTAAATCCCTCTGATAAAAGAGCAAGTATTGACAGCTGTGTAACGGAACTGAATTGTGTTGTCATCTCTGTATCTTGGGGAACACACGCACACACCCAAAACAAATATCCTTCTGCACTCACACAGACCGCAAAAAGCAAACAAGACTCTCTCCTGAGTCCAACAACCCAGCCAACGGTTATTCTGTGACAGTTACCGAGGAAGGCTGACGGGGAGACGGTTCCGTTGCTACGGGAGACCATGACGCTGATCCCGGTTTCCACGAACGGGACGGAGAAATCGATGACCTCAGAACGCTCCTCATTGATCGTCAGAGATCCGACGGCCATGACGGCTTTCTTATAGACCACCTTTCAGGGGAGGAGGAGAGGGAGGAACAGGGGGATAAAGGGAGGGAGGACAGATGGATGGATGAATGGATGAGGAGGATGAGTGATTAGGGATGGAGGAAGAGAGAGGAGTGAGGACAGGGAGAAGGGAAGAGATGGATGCGCAGAAGGAGAAGAGAGAAAAATGGTAGAAAAGCAAGGTTTAGGGAGGTAGAGTGGAAAGGGGGGAGTACAAGAAAAGAGGGAGAAGAAGAAAATTAACATTATATTTTTCAGGTATTCAGTTAGGTTTTTCACAATAAAGACAATCAAATGTAGCAAACCATCAAAATAAGTTTGAAAGACACAACTGCCTGATGAAGCTACACTGCACTCATTACTGCCTTTGTTCAAATCCCTGTTCACTTTTTACCAACTTGCCACAGAGAGCAGGTAGACACACACAGGGAAACTGACACTGATTCTTACAAGTTAGCCATTTAGTTATTTGCTTTAGTAGTCCACTAACTCCATGTAGCGTCTGCAGATTAATCTCTCATGATAGTAAAGTAAAAACTGAAACGAAAATAAAAGCAAAAAATAAACCCATGCACCAGAATGTGAATTTCACTGATTGCACATCGTTAAGGTTTTTAATCTCAGGTTGACTGTTAATCAATATAATCTACACGCAAGCGGGCGTCACCGCTAAATAAGATGAATGCCAGATGAACTTCATCTAAAGTGAATAAAGTCTGCCATAAAATATATGGACGGCTATAAAGTTTACGGTGTTAAAATGAACTCTGGGACTTTACCTTCAAGTTGAGTCGGGTAATTAAAGCTATGCAAAGGAGTTTTCTGCAGGAGTAGCTAAGATTTGTTTACTTTCTGAGCATTTACAGTTGGTGCAGAAGCCTCATAGATGAAAATTAGTTAGTTTTTTTTTTGTTTTTTTTCACCCTGTGAAAGTTTTGCAAAGTCAACACTTAAAGCTTCTCTTGGAGCATAAGGAGCAAGAATATCCTTGGCTTGTATTTCTCATTTCAAATGTCCTACAAACTAAAAGTGAAGAGTGATCAATACATCATTTTAGCATTCAGTATTACCGCTTCTTTAATATGCTTCGTAAAGGAAACTCTGCTGAAATTGGTTACATATACAGCAAGTTGTATGTGAATTATACCTGCTATTTATGATCAGCTTTGACTTTTATGATATGTATATACTCTGATATCTTTGCACACACATTTGGATGCCATCTGATTCTGGCTGCTATCTGACTCCATGGGTCGCTATTGACTGAACACTGGTTTAGATTGAGTTAGTTGAATCACATACACACTCTCGCTCTCTCTCTCTCTCACACACACACACGCACACACGCACGCGCGCAGACATGTTCACCTTACCTCTCCCACCATCCCATTCCAGACATTGTTAATCTTCTTGCCATGCTTGCCATTGGTTACCAGGTACAGGTCATAGGTGAACTTTACATATTTGGCAATTTTCTTCAGAATATCGATGCAGAAGCCTTTGCAGCACTTCTTGATGTACGTCCCACCAGCCTCTGTTGTGTTGCTGCAGAAACACAAACAAGACACACACAGACACCTCATTAGGCGATGACTTTGAACAGCTGCTGCTTCAAACCATGCAGCATCATTGGTTAAAATTCTGTCGCAGAAGATGTGAGAAAATGGCAGGGAACAGAACATTTCACACAGTCCACATTAAACATACAGTGTGTGGGCTGAATATTAGACGTACCAGCTCTTTGCATGAAAAAAAAACTGACCATGTAAATCCATGTTTTAATTTTATATTTATCTTGATGAAGTTTGTGCAACTTCAGATATGTCAACTATCTTCCCTTTGGATTAAAAACAAACAAAACACGATTTGCCTCTCCCTCCATCATACTTGTTAAATTTATGTGAATGCACCAGTGAACAAATGTCACCCTGGGACTTTTTCACCTTTAAGTTGAAGTTGTTTTACTCTGAAATGACATCAGAAGACTTGAAAAAAATATGCTTCTTCTCTCCTTCTACCTCTCTGCGTCTCTAGAGAAGGGGTTTGTGACGGCACTGCATCTGCAAGCCTTGTACCATCTGTGTGTATGAATTCCAGAGCAGGAGAGTTCAGACAGTGTTCACGCGCACACACACGCACACAAGAGCGCACTTCAACTTTCAGCCACCTGGGACTCTCATTTAACTTTTAGATGTGTGCTAATTAGGAGAAGATAGCCTCGCCCTTTAGTTTAACAACAACCTGGGCACAAACTTGACGGAAAGTGAGAAAAAAAAAAACCCTCCACACATGCGGCTGTGACTCTGCAGTTACCTTCAGAGCAGAAACTCTGTCACTTTGAAGGAATTCTGGAGCGCCGGAAAAAAAAACATTAGCCGTTTTTTTTTTTTTGTGGAATCTCCTCACTAGTCACCATCGATCTGTCAAATGAACGTCATCCCAAGTGGAATTTTTTCCTGTCTTAAAACTAGAAAGGAATTTCCTCTTTATGGTCTAATAGTTTCACACAAGACAGAAAAGGTTCATTTGATAAAAAAAAAAATAAAAAAAAGAAAAGAAAAGAAAAGAAAAGAAAAACCTGTTCTGTCAGCAGTTGTGAATGACTTCTTTTTTCTTTTTTTCTTTTTTTTTTTTGTGAAATGTTGCGCAATCACCCAGGGTGATTTTCTACAGATGTAACCAGAGAGTATCTGTAGCAGCTGTTGGAGCTAATTTAAAATGAAATAAATAAGCTAATTGGCAAACATGCCATGTGTCAACAAAATCAGGCTAATTCATTACCATTATGGGTTGTGTTTCCTCATCAATCTAAAAGAAAGACTTTGAAAAATACTCCTCCTGTAATGCGACGTGTATTTGTTTAACCACTGTAGATGCCCTATAGGCTTGTGGTTCACCATGCATGCCGTATGTGCGACTTCAAAAAGCATTCAATAACTTCAGTGAACTGAAATTTAATCACACATAGAAACAAAGAAACACGGCTGGCTTAAGCTTAATATATCATATTTACCATTATATTAACAAAAACGTAGTCATGTCACTGTAATGCAACTACATGATGACGTGGTGCAGGGAGGGGGGTTGTGCATGGGATCTATGATATATAAAAATAGAAACAAAACAAAGATGAGTAAAGCAGCTCTCTGGCAGGTTCAGCTGGCAGGGCAGTGGCAGAGCAAGCATATAGGCCAGAGCTGTAATAGCTGCATTTATGAACACAGTGTACCCACTTAGGCAGACCATAGTACAGATCAGGCAGCGAGAGCATGTGATGTTATGGAGGGCTGTTTGTGAAGTTGCCAGGCCAACTTGATATAGAAACACTACAGGGCCTGAGGGGTCTCCAGAGAGGGCAGTGTGGGTATATGTGTGATTGTGTGTGTGTGTGTGTTAGTGCGAGTATGGCTTGTTCTTAGGCCCAGCCTGGATGAGTGAATTTGTTGGTTCCGCATGCATGGATTGTCGTCCCCCCCCCCACCCCCCCAACCCACCCACCCCCCCATCCAACCCCTCCACCACCACCACCCTCTCTCTGCCCCTTCCCTTTCCTCCATCTATCCCTCTTTCTCCAAATGGAAACTATGGATGCTTGAGTGGGAATTGCGCTGTGGGAGGGAGGAGTGCACCCGGATGCATTGGCCTGTGAGTGAGTGGACATGTGGCAACAGAGAGTGTATATGAGTTTGTGTGTTTGTCTTCCTCCTTGGAGATGCTTTATCCTCCGCCCTACTTCACAGTGATTCTGGATGAAAATCTCTGTTGGCCTCTTCCCTGGGACCCTATTACCGCCTAATCAGCTCTGTGTGTGTGTGTAGGCATGTGTGCAGATGTGTAGTAGTTATAGACAGTTTGTATACATGAATGTATGTATGTAATGATAGGAGTGACACAAAGTGTGTAGCGTACATGTCCGTGAGTGTCTGTGTTCCAGTGGAGAAAAATTATATTAAATTATCCGAAAACCCATTACATGCTTTGATTCTGTAGCACTCAAGCCCCTCAGTGACACACACACACACACACACACACACACACACACACACACACACACACACACACACACGCAGTGAAAGCCACTCTCGCTGTGATTGTGTACTTCAAGAACATAATATAGGAGGAGGCTAGATATTTGGGCATTAGAGAGAAAATTGGTGAGGAAGGAAGTACACTGCTGAGTTCAGCAGTCGCCTCCATTTTCAGGGGGAGGAAAGACGCTGCTGCATAGATCGCACACTGCACTTCTTGCCATGCTCATGAGAGAGAGAGAGAGAGAGAGAGAGAGAGAGAGAGCACACGCACAGAAAATGTAATCTTCATCACCTTCTGATTATCAACTACAATGATGTAAAATGGAGTTTAATTTTCTGTCATGTTCAGTCCCACATTTTCGGACACGTCAGGTTACCTGTTCGTTTGATAATTTAGTCGATGGCATCAGGCCAATGTTACAGCGAGTTTCAGTTAGTGTTACTGTGTTGTACAACAAATGTGTGTATTGCCGTGAACCCTTAATACCACTGCATGAAACGATTTGTGCGAATTTCTTATTTCATCACTCTGCGTCATATTTTTTAGAACGGTCGCTCAACACTGAGGATGGGTAGCTGTTGACTGCATTCAGCTAAGGTTAATGTAGCTTCATGCTGAGGCGAGCAGGTCACACTCTAACTGATAATACACTGGATAATGACAGACAGTTTATCATGTCAAAGTGAGTAAAAGGTCAGGTTCATCTGTTCAGTCAAGTGTTGTTACAGCATTTTCTCTGTACTGTTGATCTGAGCATCCTCTCTGAACTTATTCTAATGTTTTTAGATAGATAGATAGATAGATAGATAGATAGATAGATAGATAGATAGATAGATAGATAGATAGATAGATAGATAGATAGATAGATAGATAGATAGATAGATATACAGACAACTTACTCTTTGATATGCTTTCTGCAGGGGACGGAGTTCCTCATGCATGTTCCGGTGAGCCTCTCCACGTCCTCCACTATAACGAAAGGTTTCTCCTCTAAAGTGACAATGGACAGGTGGTTGTCGTCAAGCTCGGCATCACCGAAGGAGTTGAAGCGCGGCCACACCGGGTACTTCAGTGTCAGGCTGCCGTTGTCCAGTTTTCCCATCTGGAGGGAAGGAGAGGAGAAGGGGGAATAAAAGGTGAAATGAGAAGCAAGCTGCGCGGTACCTTCACCGAGGCTGTTAAGTTGCTAAAAACTAGAACAGCTGAATTTACATTTGAGGTATTTATCCAGTACTTTATAATTAGTGAGCAGGCTGGGAGTCAGCATCTGCCCGAAGGCACTTTCTGTAACAGTGGCGCTGGCTGTTGTCGGATTTCCACCCATGAGCTCACACTGAAAAGACAGCGTCTCTAAACATTTAGATCCCTCAGCCCTCAGATCAAATTTAAGCAGACAGGAAGTGGTGGGAAAAATATGTCCACCAGTCACTGATCATAACATGGCATCATTTGGAGAAACACAGTGTGTTACTTTTCTTTACCTGTAGCTGGTGTGGTCTGCTGCAAAATAACTCAAAGCAGACAGGAAGTGGAGATGTCAATGTTACATGTGTTCCCTACAACACATACATACAAATCAGAATACATGACACACCATAATAAATGTGGCTGCCGGTATGACTGTGGGTACAACATAACAGATTAAAAGCACGGTGTGTAGGGATGCATGACAAAATGCACACAGAGGAATACACTGCACATTATAGCTCTGAATGCAAACATATATGAGAAAGAGAGGGCAGGGGGATGGGGGGGGGGGGGGGGGCAGTATGATATGATAGTGCTGTGATGCTGTTAATAATTCAGAAAGTTTTCAGAGCAGTGATGTCACAAATTCCCCTATGGATGCTCTTTACCCACTCTCAACAGTCTGCAAATGTATGAATGTATGTGAGTGCCTGTGTGTGTGTGTGTGTGTGTGTGTGTGTGTGTGTGTGTGTACGCTATTTACGTATGTTTTTGTCAGACTCGGGAGTCAGAGAGAAAGAGAGAGAGAGCAGCAGGCAGCGAGTCTTTGCTCAACTCTCAATTATTAATGTTACAGGAGCCGGGAAAAGGCAAAACCTCGCTCTCACTCTTTCCTTCCATTTCCAAAGCCTTTCTTTCTTCTCGTCTGTCTCTCTTTATTCCTCACAGCAACACAGCTGTGGCGTGGAGCGAAGTGGATGACCTTAGAGCCAAGTTTTTTTTTTTGTGTGTTGCACACACTCAGCAACACACATATTCATGGGCATGAATGCGAAGACTCGCGACTGGATTTCTAGACAGATGACAAATGGAAATATGTTGAGACTTTTTTTTTTTTGTGTGTGTGTTTTGTGTGTGTGTGAATAAAATAGGATCTAACAAAGTTAAGCACACATGTAATACGTATACAGTAATCTGTAACCCCTTTGACCCTGGAGCCACAGGACAGTGGTTTTTACCCACGCACACACACGCACACACATATACGCACACACACACATGTTGTTGCTTATCCTGCATGCCTGGCTAAGTCATTAACAGGCGAGCAGAGAGGAGGAAGTGAAATTAGCATTTTAATTGTTTTGCTTTGAGTGGTTTTCTATCCTCTGACAGGGATTAGAGTCTTTTCTCCGCTCTTAGAAGGCACCACTGTCAACAGCTCACTCTGCTGTCGGCTACATCTCTCAGTGTGTGTGTGTGTGTAGGCGTTTGTGTTGAGGAGGTGTGGGGGGGGGGGGGGCAGGACGGTACACTGAGGTGGCATGTGTGTGGCTCCTTGTGTGTCACCTTCACTCTCCAGGGAGCGGCCGCATTTGTCTATCTGTCTTACCCCAGCTGTTTTGCATTTCACAAGTGAGTGACTTCGGTGTTCGTATCTTCACACACGCGCGTAGTGTGAGTGTGTGTGTGTGTGTGTGTGTGTGTGTGTGTGTGTGTGTGTGTGTGTGTGAGGTGTGTGTGTCTTTTAAAGGGGTGGGGAGGTGAATTAGGAAGTGGGATTGGTAATGTAAATGTGTGCATAATAAGTAAGGCAAGGCTCGTGTGGCAGAAATAAAGCGAATCGGAAAAATAAAAAATAAAAACAAAAACAAAGATGAGTCAGAGAGGAATGGAATAGACAAGAGCGTGGGCTCAAACAATAATGCTGATATGTAAACTCCACTGGTGTTTGAACATAATGCGTAATTTCACATGTTGGGAGTGTGAAAAATCACTTTTAGCTCAATTTTTTGTTTTTCTTCATTTCTTCATTTTTTTTAACTATACTTTTTTGATTGGTTTCACTACTTGTTGCACATTTAACTATCACTATACAGCACTGACACACAACACACACACAACTCAAATTTGATCCATTCAATCATTATTTAAGCTTTTGAGGAGTAGCCCTGATTTGGTAGGATGAGTCAATAAAGTCTGAGGAGAGATAAATGTTCTACTCAGAAGATAGTTGAAAAAAAAAAAAAAAAGAGGAGGTGGTGGAGGAGGGGAAGAAGAAGCTGACTTCAGCAGCTCTTCTGATTTCCTGTCCTCCTGCTCTCTTCTTCCCTCTTCCTCCCTGTCTCCCCCTCTCTCTAATTAAAGAAAGAGGGGTTATAAATTAACGCCCAGAGAGGAGGAGAGAGGATTCTCTCTCTCTATCGACCGGCCATGAAACAGAATGCTGAATCTCCCCCGTATGACATACCAGATATTACACACACACACACACACACAACACAGAAAAGTAGTGCATGTGCTTGCGTGTAATGTGACAGTGAGGCCAGTGGGAGGTTATGATGATAGGGCCTGTGGGATTACTGCATTATAACACCCCATGGCAGCAATCCTATCGCATCATCACCCTGCGACAGATTTAGAGCCACTTGGTGATGAGATGACACTCTGCCCCAGAAGAGCGGTGTTTTGTTTCATCTACTACTCTTTCTTTTGTCAGCTCAAACCTGCCCTCCTTTTTTCTATTCTCTCTGTTCTCCTCCTCGTCTTTCTTTATCTTTATTTTGAAAGGCCTTGTTCTTTGTTCCTGAACGTCTTGCTTTCTATTTCAACTATTGCGCACGTTCCGCTCTCTCTTACTGGTTCTGTCAGTGTTTTTGACCTACACACACACACACACACACACACACACACACACCCACACACACACACACACACACACACACACACACCCACACACACACACACACACACACACACACACACCCACACACACACACACACACACACACACACACACCCACACACACACACACACACACACACACACACACAATGAAGGGCTAAAATAAACTAGAGCCTGGCTGAACGAGTGAGAGAGAGTGATAAAAGAATAAAGAAAAACAAGGGTCGGGGCTCTTACACTGAGCACCTTCTTTGTGCCAGTCTCACTGGGAGAGTTATCGCTGTGGCAAGTTGCATTATGGGAGAATGAGTTCCTAATAGCGTGGAGAAACCCATTCAGTCATAAAACAGTATCTGTCACTCCTGTCAGACAAAATTATGTCGGTAAAATGGATTCTGCTCTCCCTCTCCTACGCTCGCTCTGTTTATATGTGTGAATGTGTGCGTGCGCCTGCGTGTGCGCGAGTATGCATGTGCATGTGTGCGTCTGTATGTGTGTGTGAGAAAACAAGGGCAGAGAGAAAGAAGATGACAGAGTGGAGGAGCTAGAGAAAACTGCATGCATGGATTTAGACATCTTTCCTTAAAGTGAAGCGCTTTTATTAAGATTCAGAGAACAGTGCTGCCTGGATAGAAAATGCATGCGCATGTTTGCGCGTCAATTTGGAAGTGCGCGTGTGTGTGTGTGTTTGTGTGGACACACGTGGGCTTTTCTGCCTGTCTGCTCTCCATATTGTGATTCTCCAAGCACAAATCCCATGCTGTCTGTAATAATTATTTTGTGAACTGGCTGCTAACACTGCAGCAGTTCCTGAAGCAATTTACACACTCCATCTACTCAGCAGGAATAAAACATAACATCCTGGTTCTGATCGGTAAATAAACTTTTCTCATTCAGTCGCTGAAGTTACTGTAACTCTGAATACAGTAAGAAAATTCATCATCTTTTCTGCCATGTCATTGATTATGGAGCGGGCGTATATCCACAGTTTCTCCAGACATTTAATTCTATTAAACAAGCTACTTTTTTACTTTTGGTAAAACTGTCTCCAATAAGCAAATTAGGACATCAGGTGATTTTTTAAAAAAGAACCTAACTGTAGTGAAGTAACATTTATGAGTATAAAGTGAGTGCATGTACACAAATACAACCACACGCTCTTGTGTGTGTGTGTGTGTGTGCATGTGTGTCTTAAAACTGCTTGATACTACATCAAAATTGATTTAATTCATTGCTTGCAGTTATTCAGCACATTTTTCAAGCTCACAGTTTAATTTAGGATAATTCCCCCATAATGCCACACTGGATCCAGTCACACCCACATGACTAGCTGCAATCGGCGCCTCTTTTGAATAAAACTAATTCACTGATGAGAAATTCCCAACACCATACACAGCTAGCCAAACAGGTGAAGCGACTTTAAAAGCACTTCTTCCCAGAACTCAAAAATCTACCATCTTACCAACTGCATGTGTGTGATGCAGAGAACAGCAGGTGCGGGTGCTTTGAAAACCTGAGTGCTAAACACCTGTAGTGGATGAAAAGGGGGAGAGCATACACATGATGATTGCTCAGTTCCACCTCTCTCTTCTTCTGTTTCCCTCTCTTTCTCTCTCTGTCTCCTTTTCTCGTGCTCATTTGCTCTCGCTATCATGGCCCATCTGTCTCTATCGCTCGCTCGTCTCGGTAGCGCTCCATATTGCTCTCCTCTCCCTGTCTCTTCCTCCTCTGCCCCAAGGGGACACATTTTATATTTTTAGTGCATATCCATATTTTAGTGCAGTTACTGAATTTTTATCTCTTGATCATCATGGAAGTCTCTCTCTCTCTGTGCGCCGCTGATTTCTGGTGCATGGGTGGGACGGCTGCACCAGACTCAGATATATAGTGAGAGAGAGAGAGAGAGAGAGAGACAGAGAGAGACAGAGAGAGAGAGATAGAAAGAGAAGCTCCCAATTATGTTTCCACTTTGGGTCTCCGTGTCTCTCTTGCCTTCAGTCTCTTTCTCTGCACCACAGCGAAGTGGTACTGATCAATTTCACAGGCTTTCTGTTTACAACAACACACTCTACTTCCCCTCAGCACACTGACAAAGGGTGTGTTTGTGTGTGTTTGTGTGTGTCTGTGTGTGTTTGTGTGTGTCTGTGTGTGTCTCTGTGTGTCTGTGTGTGTGTGTCAGTATGAAATATGAAATAGCTATTCTCAAAGATTGGGTGGAGACTGTGCGGATTGCAGCAAACTAAACCGAATACTGTAACACACACAGATGTGACCTGAATAAAAACCAGATTGGTTGAAGCACAAGTCTCTTGAATAGTGTTTCTGTCAATAACCTGTATAGAAGGGTAAACATACACACACACACACACACACACACACACACACACACACACACACACACACACACACACACACACACACAAGAGCAGTGACCCTTTGCCACCCCAATAACGGAGGTCTCAGGTTTTCATTAACTGTGGTTTGAGGTGCTATCAGAGACCACAACAGCAATCACAGCTGAAGATAGACAGAGTGTACAGATTATCTGGCTTTTGGAAAAAAGTGAAGGAAAAGGGACACAGGGAAAAAAATGGAGGAGAGGATGGAAAGTCGGAGGCAGAGAGGAGAAGTAAAGAGGAAGAGAAAGAAGATCAGGAGAAGAGGGAAGAAGAAAGAAGACAGATGTGAGGAAGCATTCAACATGTCATGAGAGAGGGAGGCAGTGGGAGGAAGGAGACAAAAAGTGGTGGGAGATGTAAAGGAAGGACAAGACAGAAAAGACAACATCCATCTCCCTCTCTTCCTTATCCAAATCCTATCTTTAGCCACACCTCTCTCCTTTGCCATTCCTCTCTCAAACTTGTCTTCTCAGCCTCACCCACTCTGAGCTATGAGCTAGTGGGGCATTAAATATGAGGTATTTAAGCCTGCACGAGGAAGCCAGATGTAGGTATAAAGATACATTGCTGCCATTTAAAGTCCATTAAAATGGCTAGAATACTCAGCCATTAAAAGTGGCCATTCTTTATAGACGCTTCCTCACATTAACCAGTTAAAGAAAACCTATAAACTTGTTGGTAATTGCGCTCGTTGATCAACATCAAATGTTGCATGATGAGACAGAAGTATCATTTTCAATACTGGTCTTCAGCACTTATTGCTCTTTTTGTTTATGCAGTGTATTTCTCAGAGGTCACTTGCCAGTCAAAGATTGTGAGCAGTACTGCGATGTCTTTTTTTCAGGTTCTACAGGTAGCACTCTTTTATCTGTTTAGCCGCCACGGTTATCACTGCTAGCTCCCCAGATCTGTATTTGCAATGCATAAGCTAGTTTTTTGGTAAAGAAAATAATGTGTCAGTCGGTAATAGATTAAGACAACAGGAAACATAAAAAACTGTAATAGTAAGAAATGATAACAGTACTGATCATGCAAAAGCAACACAGAGAAATATACAATAAACAAAAGCAAATATAAACACAGAGGAAAACACAAGAACAAAGGTCAGGGACAGCGAGTTTTTTAGAAATACTGGAGTTATGAGTCCCACAGCAGGCTGGTGTAACCTTATCACTCAGTCACTCAGTCACATTTGCTTTTACTGGGCCGGCCCCCACTGTTGTAACAAACAAACACATTTTATTTATTCACTGCACTCTTCAATTGTACTTGCTTTATTTTAGATCTCCCTATGTAATGTTCTAATTGTTGTTTCCTTCCCTTTACTGGCAGGTAAAGGGAAGGAAATGCTAAACACTTAACCCTTAATTTATTTAAGTTATATTTAAGTTATTATAAAAAATATAATATTTAAAAAGTCTGAAAAATATTTAAGATGACCTTAAAAATCCAACATGTGTAGAATAAAGTATAATAATAAATATATTAAGGTGAACATAAACTCTGTGTCTCTGTGAACACACAGGAATATGCAGTTACACTTTTGCGCACATACAAGCACAAACCAAGATACAGTCGTAAAACGTACCTTCTCCCACTCCCTGTCCTTGTTGAGAACAATGACCACCAGCTTTGGGTTTTCCTGGTAGCCGTCTTCAGTGAATGACAAGTCTCTGCCATCCCATGTCACATTCATCATGTACCTGAGAGTGAAAGGAGAGGAGGAGGAGGATAGGGGTGAGGAGTAGTGAGGCAGAAGATGATAATAGATGAGAGAGATGAGGAGGAGGAGGAAGAAGGGGGGAAGGTGGAAAAATCAGAGATTGAGAGATGGAGAGAAATGAATGGAAGCGAGGAAAAACAGAGGAAAGGGGATATTGAATTATATTAGCATGAGAAAAAGTCAATTTACAATCTGCTAGTATTACTGTCCTGAAATATTCACACAAGCTCTTTTGCATTGAAAGTTGTAAAGTCATATTTCATTCATTATAATTACATTCTAGAAAATAAAAAGCAACTGGGCAGGAGAGTTAAATTGTAATGCTGAGGGATAATAAAATCTATTTGAATCCAAAAATGTGTGTGCGTGTATATAACCTGTGAGTATCACTTCTGAATAAGAGTATTGTCAGTAATAACAGAGCAGTGTGTGCTTAGATCCAGAAATATAAATTAAAAAAAAAAAAGAAAATGTGAAAATGAATAGTACCTTAAGCGATAGTCTGTCCATACTATCACCACACACACACACACACACACACACACACAGTAATGAGTGACCCATATGGCAGGTCACATTAGCTAAGATGGAGGGCAGTGGGAAGATATTCTTGGGTCCACATAGCCTCCACATTAATCATGGCTGTCCTTCCCCACTCTGTCTCCCTCAGTCCTTCTGTCAGCGGTCATGTACAACACGGCAGAGACGGCTCCTCTTTTCCTCCTCTTCTGCTCCATTCTGGGGCTGGGGCATGCCGACGGGGCAAATTCCGAAAATGGATGTATGGGAGAACATGTGATGTGTCTTTGAAAAGCCACAGCAGGTGAGCTGTTTCGTGCAGGAGCGTGTCGTAAAATTATGCTTTTACAGAGTCTTATTATTTGTGTCAGAAAAAATCATTGATTGGTAAGCAATTTGTTACCAGTTTGGGATAATGGATGTCCTTTTGCTTGTTCTTTTACATAAAAAGCAGCTTTAATGCCATATGTTACACAAACCAGCAGTCTGGACCAATTATAATACTGAGTCACAAGGATGAAAAAGGCTGTGTAATGTGTGTTTGTGTGTGTGGCAACGTATCACAATACCTACATGTCCTTTTAAATTGATGCTTGTGTTGCACGCACGCACGCATGCACACACACACACACACACACAACCAGTCAATGCCCAGATGAAATCAGCCAGTGATAAGGGCACTGAGTGGGTCTTGTGATTAAAATGATCTGATTGGCCTGCAAGCAACCAGGTGAGAAGTATTAAGCCATTTGATTGGACAGGAGATGCTGCGCTGAACCCAATTATGTGCGACTACAGCAGAGAAAGAGGGGATGGGATCAATACCAGCGCCCAGGCTGCTCTCTTAGACAACAGCCCATTCTGCGCTTTGCAACCATCTATGTGGAAGACACACTCTCTCACACACACACACACACACACACACACACACACACACACACACACACACACAATGGAAGCCTTTGCTGTTCTTTCCCTCTGTATACTTTACAGTTAGCTCTCTTTTGTTGTTCATTTGATTCATTTTCTTGCTCTGTTTTCAGGCATCTTTCTTTTTGACACAATCCAGCAAAGAAAGTGTTTTTACTGCACCAATTTAAAACATTTGATGTCAATCTAACGATGTAGAAACCTATGCTTGATGTCAGAAGAATATGAGTGGGGCATCCTGTAAGGTCAATCAGTAAACAAAATTATTTCCTGTTGGAGCAGGTAAGGTGGAGCAGGTGAAGATGTTCAGACCTCAGCTAATCCTTCTGTCTCTTAACACGAGTCCCTTCTGTATTTTGTTTCAAAACCGATTCCAAATGAACATCATAATAGTATAACAGTGCACAAATTTGCAAGAACAGGATGCAGACAGGATGGGCAGATCGTGTGTGTATGTGTGTGCGTGTCTGCAAGTATGTTTGGGCTGACGCCCATTGAACAGGTGGACCTGATAGGGCGTTGCTAGGATACGGACACAGACTGGAGAGTGTATGCCGGGAGATGACCCTAAATAACCCTGAATGAACATCCCTGCAACACACACACAGGAACGCCGACAATTACTTTGCACACCTCAACAATTCTCCACATAATGTTTCCTCTCCTGTAGCACTGAGATCATAGTAAAGCGATCCAATTCCTCTCACTTTCCAGCCTCCATTATATCAGTAATCTCTCCATTCATTTGGCTGGGGGGGGGGCAGACAGCGGAGAAGGGGCAACCAAAAAAGAAAAAAAAAAGTGAGAGAGCATAAAGATAAGAAAGACTGAGTAAGGGAGATGGAAAGAGGAGAAGTATGACGAGGGAGGAGGAGAACTAAGCCTCGACAGAGTTAGGATAAAAATATCTTCTGTGTTATTTTTTTTCCTTCCTCCCTCTTTCCTCTTTTTTTTTTTTTTTTTTTTTTTCTTCCCCCCCCTTTTCTCTTTTTTTTTTTTTTTCTTCCCCCCCCTTTTCTCTTTTTTTTTTTTTTTCTTCCCCCCCCTTTTCTCTTTTTTTTTTTTTTTCTTCCCCCCCCTTTTCTCTTTTTTTTTTTTTTTCTTCCCCCCCCTTTTCCCTTTTTTTTTTTTTTTTTTTTTTTTTTGAGTAAAAGGGGTTGCGTTGGGAGGGGGGGCACTGCACCAGAGTTAACCAGCACTAAACATACACTGCAGCACGCAAGTAAGAGCAGACACATAACACTGCATTACAGCAGCAAGCGCCAGATACTCTGCATTTGTGCTGCTGTCTTAATCCTTCGCTTCTGAGCAATGACAGAGCATTTATGACGTTAATAACAAAAGACAATGACATTTCCAAATATACTGGGTCATTGTATTTTACACAGAGCATAATCCACAGCACCCATCTTCTCTGGTAGCAGCCCTTAGTCCTTCCCTGTCAGAGGGCTCTTGACACATAAGACATAATATCTCAAGTGCTCACTTACTCTGAGTTGCTCTGGATCTCCCCTTGTTTACAACAGTCTTACTTTGTGATAAAGACTCCACATTTTATCTGAAGAGGTTCGACTGCAGGGAAAAGTGTCTCCACAAATATGTTCAAATGAACTGTATAATGCTGTGTGGGTGTCAAAGATAGAGACACTTATCCTTCATCAAGACAAGAGGCAGTCAAAGCAATGATGTATAATGTCAGAGCACTCATGATCTATGAAGTGCAAAAGCAAACACACGCAGGCTGTGGCTGTGAGAGACAGAGGGGAGGGGAGTCTAAAAAAAGGATGGGGGGGCTGCTATCAGTGCTGATTTAGGTCTTTTAAGAGGACCCAAGGGTGGGCAGTCACTTGAAAACACACACTGAGCCTCAGGTGGCATGTGTTAAGTGTGGCATGAATGATGACTGTACAAGGTGAAGTAGATGCTAGCTTAGCTCTGTGTCTGCCCCTCCTGTCGTCCCTGGTGTGTGTGTCTGTGCAGTTATTTTGTTTGTTGGAGTTTCAGCAGCACAAGATTAATGCTAACAATTACATTTTGTCTTTTCCAAGCTTGCGGTCGCACCATAAAATGCAACATGTGTCCACACAGCTACCTCAGCAGCATTTCCTTTGTTGCACACAATAGGGTTTTATGTGTGTATTGGCCTGGGATCCTTTATACTGTAGCTCAGTTAGAATATCATGGGTTTTCTTCAATATGCAAATCCAATTTTAGGACAGGAATCAGCGCACAACAGTGGAGCACCTTCTTAGATATCCTTCCCTCTGATGAAAAATTAATAATCTTCTTGTGCGTTGGGATTTGCAGTAGTTCACATTGCCACTGACTAAACTCCCTCCCATGTCTCCCGGTCTCTCTCCTCTCTGAGTATTCAAACCAAAAGCAACTTGATAGTTCCTTTATCTCTAAGATGTAGTACACAAGCTGTCAATCACACACACTTTTTGCTTAACACAATGCAGACAACTATTGCGCCCTATAAAGCCAAAATGCAGTAACTACATATCTGGTCAAATTGAGACCATACTTCGACTTTATTAGGTTACTTTTACCTTATGGAAATAATTGTGTTATAGAAATGTGTAATTCTCGAAAACCACAACATCCAGCTAGTTAAGACTAGTCACAGCTGCCTTAGTGAAAGCTAAATTACTGACTTCTTCTGACCTGTTGTCTGTAATTCAAAAATCAGTTTTGATGCTCTAACATTTTAACAACTAGTTTGTTGTACTACATAAGACAGTAGCTACATCTAATCATAGTGGGGGGGGGGGTAACACCAAATAAACTAGCTAACTAGCCTAGCTTAGATGCCTATTAGATTGTCCATACATACAAGTTTTTCTGAGCTAAAAGCTAAGAAGCCTCCAAAATTTTGCAACTATTTTTTCAATACTTACTGCTGTTCTCCATACTGGTCTTTGTAATCCTACAAAACAACCAAGCAGCCTTGGCTGTCATCAGCATCAGATGAGGGAGCTCCAATCTTAACCTACTGGATAATGTTCTGCTGCTCCCGCAGTCTTGTATTGAAAGCACACCCAACAGTGCCTGATGGACACTTCAGACTAAGCATCAGGCACTTGAACTACAACTAGCTCACTGCTTCAAAGAAAATGTGTTTCTTATTTATGCTCATGACATGATTACTGTCAACACAGTGACTGTTACATACAGTATTGGACACACTCGCCTGTGTCAGCAGTTTATTACAACCCATAGTAATGTTTAATTGTTAGGCGACCATAGTAATTATGACGGGAATAAAAGAGGAAGTCATGTGATATATTACAAACATCAACAAAGTTCATGTTAAAACAAGACTGGGGAGGATGGATGGATCCACATAATACAGGCCTTTCACATGGGAGACTGCTGTTTGTTTCATGTTGAAACCAATAGCTGCTGTTGTATCTTTTAACCGTGACAGTTCCACAACCTTAACTACGTTTATTACTGTAACCATGACTACAAAAGTCCTCTAACCTTAAGGAGGTGCAGTTATTTTAACCCAAACCTATCTCTTTGCCTAAACCTAACCAAGTACTTCTCACACCTAAACCTAACCAAACCATGACGGTTCCATAAGCTTAGCAACGTTTTTATTAATGTAATCATGACAACGAAGGTTTAGCAAACTGTCACCGTCATGTCAGGAGACACTCCTACGGGTTGAATCACAGGGTACGGGCAAACGACCAATACAGTCGTTCAGGTCGGATGTTAATTGGGTATAGGTATATATAGGTATATAGGTATATTCCCCATCTAGTCAAATACACTATTCCTTGTGAGATCACCTGCTGCAGGTAAAGGCATTTCTCACAAATCACATCAACAGCTGACAGAAATGTACATATGGGTTTGAATAATAAATACACACAGAGGTGGTTACCAATCAATCATACAGTAATGTAATATTTATGAGCAGTTGTTTCCCTTCTGTAACAAAAGATATTCATAGGTTATGTCTCTAAGTCTAAGAAAATGACAAATACACGCAGCAGTTTTGCACAACATATAAACACAACTTCAGTATTCCAATTTGAGTATTTGTTTCTAGCACAGTACTCTATGCATGAATGCATCTTATCAACTAAAACTGTCAGGAAATGTCTCCTTTCAATTTTCAGTTGCATCGAGTAGTGTGTGAGCACATGTCTTTGACAGCTGGCCCAGGACCCAGTACCTGTGTGTTATGTGTAGGTGTGTATATGTGTGTGTTTCCTGAGTTCTGACCCTCATATATCAGAGCTAGAGACTGAAATTACCTGTCAGAACAAACACACACACACACGTGTACAGACACACACACACACACTCACAGATAAATAAGTGCTTAAGTCTTTTAAGACACACTGTTCACCAAAGCAAGGTGAGCAGGACACAGTAAATCGGTCATGACAGAATATTCTCTTAAGGGGGGGATATTTTTCTTGTTTCTAACACACAAGCACAGACACACACAAACCCTCACACATACACATACCATAATTTATATGGAGCACAAGTTGTCACTTGGTCTGATTGCTGCACTGGCCAGCTCTCTTAGTTGGTCATTTGTCTCCTGTTTTTATTTAATTTTATTTTTCTATTACTCTGCAAAACATATTCATCTTCGATATGTCACGGTGGATTTATCATCACAGCTGTCACAGGCAAAGTGAGTGAGGTAAAACTTCACTGAAAGCCCACACTGCACGGTACTGGTCACCAGAGCAACGGACTTTTCTGTGATTTCAGCACTGACTATCAATATTATTCTCATCAAACTAAGTTTTGCTCTATTGTGAGATGTTTTTGGCTCAGTTAAGGACGGGCGTAGCATCCACTGTAAATCAAAGTGTTGTCACAAATCACAGTCTTTGAGTCTGAAGGGTGTTCAAGCAAAGAAGTACATAAATTTCACACATACTAACATGATGCTGTTATTGACATCTTGCTTTCAAAAAGGCGGTAGATCCACAGAAGAACTAAAATGAAGCCTGGGCTATAATACTGTGACCCAGCGTTACACCATAGCCTTAAAATACTGTATAATTCTGTAATGTGTACATTTGTACATACAACCCATCTGTCCACCTCTGTGAGTCTGTATATGTGTGTGTGTGTGTGTGTGTGTGTGTGTGCGCACACACTGGCCATGTTCTCCTATCTCCCCTGACAGCCGTTGATGGTCTAACAACCAACGCTGGCTCGTCGCCCCGACCTAGCCTTGACCAATCATGTTTCTCATGTCCTGGCCCTGAAGCCCTATTGGCTGAGCTCTCTCACCCACAACAGAGCCATCTGTGGCTACTCATCACCTGGGTAACAACCTGAGGCAGCAGAGCATGCTGGGAACAATGTCAGCTGGCTCTGGATATTTGGTAATTCTCTTTGGTTTACCTGTGTTTCCAGACAAAACGAGAGCTACATTAGTGTGGAATTGGTATTTAAAGTCCCGCTGAGGTTATTAAAGGCGCAATCAGTCATACTTTACTGTCTCTTTACACAAAATGACCATAATTTACAAGTGGGAGCTCATAAATGTTGCTGAAGAATGCCAGTTACTCCTCTGTTACCTCAGTGACTACTGCGATTTTAAGCTCTCTAAACAGGCTGAGTCAAGAGTCAGCCCAGCCCCATTTTTGCAGCGAATGCTCTAATCTCCCAGGCTCCCTTAACCACCCACGGTGCACAATGCATCTTGTTTGTTTTTTCTGCAAAACCCAAATTCAAAATTGGTTGAAAGCCAGAAGGAGTATCAGACTAAAAACATCTTCAATATTTATGCAGTAGGTAGTAGGCAGTATATTAGCTGCTCACATAAATAACTAGTGATGTAATGTTCAACACATGAGCCAAAAGAGTTTTGATTTATGGAGCAATGACATGAAAATGTTTTAGGCCAGATAAAATTTATAGACCCTCTCTGTAAACTGACCTCAGTGGAAAATGTTAGTCTTCAATCTTGACTTCCTAAACTAATATTAGTTTAACAGAGGAAATAACTGGAACTTAATCTGATCTAAAAGTTCTGTTGGTACACTAATGCCAAAACACTAAGTGCTCCAAATGTACCTGTTACATTATTCATCTCTTACTACGTCACTCTCTCTCAGCCTTTCATCCTTTTCCGAGATATTGTCATCTCAAGTTATGCAAACTTTTCTGAATATTATGGCTAAAAACCAACAACTAAGCCTCCTGAATATCAGAAAAAAACAGATTAATTCAATTTGTTGTGCTTTACTCTTAGTTATTTTAGCCGTATTTCAACCCTTTTTCTAACATATGCAAACTAAAGAATGGTGGAATGATTACTTACAGAATGGACCAATATTATATCGATGCACTATATTGATAAATTATGTGTAGACGATGTCAGACACATCCACATGCTTTCAAGGGTTGCAAAATCTGTTCCTCCTCTCACTCATTTTCTAGTTTAACCAACTTAACTGTGAGATGAAGCACGGTGGAGACACACAACATTTCTGAATTTCACAAAATGGAATTCTTGGAAATAAATTTTGGAATCAGATTTTATCCTTTAGACTGAAGAATTTTAATTTCACACATTATTAAAAAAAAAACCCACAATATTGGGATGTAAACACAGGATGTGTGTGTCTCTCCCTCCTCTGCCAGATGGAGAGCCAGACAGAGCTGGCAAGACCTGCAACATCTCCCACTGGCTGCTGGGGAGTGAGTGCATGATGAGAAGGAGAGCAGATGAGAGTGAATGAGAGATGGAGGAATACATGAGAAGAGGAACAGAAGGACTCATCAAGGAGCGCTTCAATTTTGGAGAGCACTCATTTGTAGCAGCTTCCCGCTGCTACCCCAGTCTCCGTTTCTTGCCTCTTCCTTCGCTGGCTCCCTCCTCAACTCCCATTCACCTCTTTCATTCTCCTCTCTCCCTCTGACTCCTACACCTCCTCTATTCTCTTAGCTCTAACTCTCAATCCCTTGGTCTTTCATCCAGTAATTGCATCATTCTTCAATCTCAATCCTGAACGCAGACTTGGTGGAAACTTGGTGGAAGTCTCTAATTACTGGGGACAAGGGTGCAAACAAACAGACTGTGGCAGGAAGCCATGCACTCAAACAAACACACACAAACACACACAAACACACACAGACATCCATGTGCATTCACACAGCTCCTCTCTCAGATGTTATAAAAATACAAAATCACCATTATAATTATAATTCTGCCGTTTCTATTTTCCACTCCTCGTAAAAGCTCCATTGCTCACTAATCATTCTAGACATGGATGCCAAAACAAACATATCCACACACTCTGTCTTTGCTTACTTATGTAGCGCGCTGGGTGGCAGCTTGGTCGTCTTCTCCATCTGCCCGTAACAGGATGTTTTGGCTTCGGGGATGTCGCCATACTCCTCCAACATGGCTGCCGCTGCTGACGTTATGATCCCCAGACCATCACGGACACGCGCCTCCAACGGGTAGTCCCAGTCGTCGTATGACACTGAAATCATTCCCGATGGGAACTCCTCTGGCGTTATTTCCGGGTTGCCAGTGGTGAGTGACGGCACAATCCAGATGTATCCAAACCCGGTGAGGCCCAGAGAGCGAGCCTCCTCCAGGATGTAGACCGCCTCGTCCTTGGAACAGTAGAGTAGGACCACGGGGGACTGGACCTTCTTGAGCATGATCTGAGACCGGCTGTCTTCCTCCACTGCGTCCAAAGTGATGATATTCTGCAGGTCCCAGCCTACAAAACTAAAGCACGGATAAAGAGGACAAGAGAGGAATGTTAATATTTAACTAATAGACTATTAACTTTGCTCAGGTGCTGGCAAGGGCAGTTATAATTATCCATTACAATTAATATCATTAAGTGCGACGTGAATACTAATAGGTGTGAAGTGCGTATTGTCAGGGGAAACACATTAAGGCTAAATGGAATGCAAATGCTAAAGCTGGTCCTGTATAATGTTGCTCAGCAGGTCCAAGACCACACAACTAAAGGACAAGGAGAACAAACGCTGGCCTGTTAATGTGAGAGGGCCGGTGCAGTGCCTGTGGTCAGTGTGCTAATTGGTGACACAGGCTATCACAGGATAGTGCTATCAACATCATCATTGTTAGCGACTGTGAGCTTCTGTCTCACCTTTTGCACGAAAATAGGCTCATTAATATTGCATTGCACCTGCACAACCATGTGGCTGAAGACAGATGTTTTACAAAGATTTTTAGCTCTGCGGTGTGCTGCAACTGTAATGTTCAGAGCAACCATGAAGGAAAACTGATTTTTTTCTAGTTCTAGTTATTTAAAGTGGGCAAAAGTAAGGAGTGCTCATTAAAAAGATGATGCATTTGTAGAGTATCTTTTTCATCCAGTGGGACTGACTGCTCTTTTTCACATTGTCCAGAGCGATAATATCCGGCAGCTCCCAGAACGCACGGCTAAAGAGCAGCACAAGCAGAGGAAATGGCAGTTATGTTAGTAATTAAAGAACATAATATGTCATAAACTGGCAGCGCGCTGCGGTGTCAGGAGCACAGGTCCTTCATGGCAGAGCTGGCAGAGTGAGGGACAAAGAAGACACACACACACGCACGCTAATACATACACGCACACACGCACACGCACACACGGTATATTACAAAGTGGGATGCGTGGGACAGGGAAAAGAGTGGGAGCAGTTAACCATTGTGTAAGAATCTAACAATAGACAGGTAGTGTAACATGAGAGTGATCTGGGACTTGCTGTCCTCTTCATGCTGTCCAAAGTGATGATGGTCTACAAATCCCAGATGACAAAACTAGTAAAGAGACACAATGACACACAGAGACACATTCACAGAGAAATAGAGAGAGAGAGAGACAACAATGGTGAGAACAATTATGGGAGGATATGATACAGGTATGTCCATGATACAAATCTTTGCTCAGCACACTTTCTGCATGTAGCCAACACCGAAATCTATTCTTTCATCGTCACATTATTGAGCTGGCCCTGCTGCAGGTGCTAATATGTCTCCATTGTAAAGTAAGCCTTGGCTCACTCAGTTGACCGGTCTAATTTCCTGATGTGAAAGATGGAGGTTCACTGCTATTAAAACTGTTTGCCCATGACGAAGTCAGTGTGATCCAGCTGAACACTGACATGGGAAGTCTGACAACGGGTTATTGCAGGTAATTGGGATAATTATTTCTTAATTCATGAATGAGGGGCTGTTATTTTAACATGAAGGTCAACATCCACCTCTGCAGGGTACGAATGATGATACTGATGTCAAAATTATTTTTTTCTTATTACAAATCTGTGCAGCCACTATTCGCTAAAGTATTGTAAACACATTTATATGGAGTAGATATTGATGTTACAAGGGCTAATAGTTATCTAAAGAACCATAAACAATAGGGCTTGGACTTGTTTAAAGCTGGAGACAGTTTTTTGTATGTATTAATAAAGGCAGCAGTTTACCTGGCTGCAGGTTCATGTGGACAAAACAAGATTAGAAGAAAAACAATGGGAAGGGAATTTGCTACAGCCAGTTAATTGGCCAACCTTCTGACTTTGCTTTCTGCTCTCAAAACTCTCTCTCAATTACAGTTTCTTTCTATTTTTGTTTTCAAATCTTCTCAGTGTGCAAAATGGGACAGTTAACTTGAGGTTAACCTACAGTATGTGTGTGTATGTAGTTTCCCAGATCAGCAAATAAAGTGTTTGGGAGAGTCAAAGTCTTTATGCTGATCACATTTGCCTTCCAAAGCATTGAGAACACAGGCTTAAACATGTATGACTTGTAAATATGCAGGCTCACGCTTGTTCATTTTCTGATAGTAACAGCTGTTATGAGGAACAAATTCCTATTATCTTATTTAATTAGCCATTAACGACCTGTTGCCACTCTGCGTGTAATGAATACAGCTCTAAGTGTCACCGAACACAGACGCGCAGAGAGTTTTTGAGCCCCTGCTGGGTTTGACATAAAGACTAACTGCTAATGAAAAAGACCCTCCTCAGCTGGGCTTCTATATATCACAAGTACAGCCACCTACTCTTGCCAACATCTCAACATTACTGAACGTGTATCACTCATTTGACACTTTTTTTTGCCACAAATTATAGCTTGCCACTCTCTTCTGCAGTTTTCTATCCATCTCTCTCTCTCTCTCTCTCTCTCTCTCTCTCTCTGTGTGTGTGGAGAGCTACAGCATCAGTCAAAAAGACCTAAAGGTGCAGCAAACAACAGCTAAACTGCAGGTGTAGTGAAGCCACCTGTCATCTACATTCATTTTATTTTATTTTTAAGAATGCTGATAAAATCCTTTCAGGCTTGCTGTCTTTGAACTACATATAAAAAAAGGCCAAAACATGCAGTAATTCTTATAGAGAGAAAACTTGCCCATTCTCTGGGGAAATTTGCAGTGATAATGGAGAAGATTACAGGCTTAGAAAAATGCTGGCAATAGTAACTCTTAGAAAACATACCTACAGTTCTTGTTATCTTCAGTTTTTCTTTGTGCAAACTGTTGGTATTGAGAGGGAACAATGAACAGATTCTACCCAAAAGGTTATGAAGGGGAGGGGAACAGCCCAGTTTAATTATACTTCATAGCTCCTCTATTACGACTATATATTGTCACACATATATACAACATTTTGTACATATAAGTATACTGTATGTATATACATATATATATGTATATATGTGTGTATGTAATACTTTTAAGTCACTAATCAACACTGTAAGATAATGTGTTGACAGTGTTTCAAGCTGAATTGTATGCTTGCAAGGTATTTCCTGTTGCATCTGTGTAACAGTTTATTATTTATTTTAGTTTGTTTATTTTTCCTGATATATTATTAGTGTAATATTAAATGAAAGATTCAATTCTAACACAGTGTCTGACTGTCTGTCTGTTGGTTGATCAGTCCACCGCCAATCTCAACAACTATTAAATGGATTGCCGTGAAATTTGGTGCACGCATTCATGTACTGGTGATCCTTTTTCATTTAGTGCTGTCATCAGGTCAGAATTTTATTTCATCCATTACTTTATTTATGACTAAACACCTGCAAAGCTTATGACATTCTCATCTACTTTGTGTTTAGTGCTGATTCGCGATTGTTAGCATGCTAGCGCGCTAAACTAAGGTGGTGGATATGTTAAACATGATTCCTGCTCAACGTCAACATGATAGCATTGTCACTGCAACCATGCTAACATGCTGATGTTAGCATAACTCAAGTACCGCTGTGTCTAAGTACAGCCTCACAGGTTTCATTTGAGTTCTATCCTGAGCTTCTCCAAATGAAAAGGTGCCCCATGGTTGTCACATCTGCACTTCTTGAGTGACAACTTTATGCTGCTGCATCATCTTGTTGGCTACTGTTATGAAAAATAAGAATAATAATATAAATTACATACAACTTACAGTAAGAATGTGGAAATAAGGAGGACAGTGCAAAGTAACAGATCCTACCTGTTGTCCACGGTCGTTTTCAGGATGTTGATGAACTCCTGGTAGCCAGGGAACTTTGACGTGACGATGGAGAAGATGTGCCAGTCGTACTCCTCCATAATGTTCAGCATCAGCAGAGCCTCCTGCTGGATGGAGGCGCCGAACTGGAAGAATGTCGACTTCACATCCTGAGGAAAGAGAACAGGAGAGAGGAGTGGAGGGTGGGAGAAATAGGAGGATAAAGGGAGGGAGAGAAGAGACTTAGTTAAAGATTTATTTGGATTTCTTTTTTTTTTTTTTTTATCTCACTTTCCATCACCTAACTGCATCTCAAAAATATCAATCTATAGCAGAGCATTTAAAATTTGGCACATTATGAGTACACAGACTCTCTCTCTCTCTCTCTTTTATACACACACCGACACACACACACACACACACACACACAGATAGAGTGTAATAAGCTTCTTCGTGGAGGAAATATATGGATGAGGGGCTCAGAACAATTCAATTAAGCCCAAATTGGATTGGTTCAGTACTGGCGGGCTTGCAGAACTCTGTGGGCCTGGTTCTGGGGGGGGGGGGCAAGAGCTGCATTCACTCTGAGTCACTCATATCCACTCCATTAAACCTGACTCAGAATCATTTGCCACTTAATTCAGCCAAACTGAGACATGGGCTTGGACAGAGCAGACAAGTACCATTACAGGTGGACAAATTAACTCTATTCATTTATGTTGGGAGGTTTCCTTTTCAATGACTCATTATGGTGTGGGCCATTGAATGAGGTGAAATGAGACAAAAACAGTGAGGAAGACAAAAGGATCTAGCATCACAAAAGGTGTGAAGGGGGAAAGCGGTACCTTGTCTTTGGTTGTTTATTGTGTGATTTGTTGTGTGTACATATGTGCGTATGTGTGTGTGTGCGTGTGTGTGTGTGTGTGTGCATGTGTGCGTGTGTGCGTCTCTGTGTGGATTTCGGTTACCGTGAAATGTCAAAGAGTTCACACATGGCTTATCTTGACACCACTTGTCTTTGGCAGTCTAATTGTGATAGACTTGCAGGTTGTTGTGTGCGCATGTCTTTTGTGTGTGTGTGTGTGTGTGTGTATGTAGCTGCAACCTGACAGCTAGAAAAAAAACAACAAAAAAAAATAACACAAGGGCTAAGAGACACAGAACAAAAGGTTGGAACGAGAGATAAGAGACAAATGAAGAATAAGTGACTCTGCCCCGGTGTCACTTTGTAAGATGACACCTGCTCTCAAAATGAGCAAATGCACCACACGTACTTACACACACTGACACACACAAATGCACACAGTACATCCACACACTGCCTGCAGGGTGTATCTGCAGTAATTCATCCACAGTGTGACTAGACTTAAAAAAAAAAAAAGAAAAAAAGTGGGAGTTGGTGTGTATGATCAAACATACACTATATGAAATGTATTAGCCTTTATACTAAATGCTGCTGTAAGTCATGTTGAAAACCCATCTTGAAGAAAAAAAAAAAATCCATGAATGAGATCCGTTACCGTAGGAGGTAGCTTCATGACTGATGTAATCTCCAGCTGTATTTGCAGCTTTATTGTAGACTATATTTATTATGTTATCTGCATCCCTAGGTGCTTTTCCATTAACCTCCTTAATCTGCAATTTGAAATTGCAAAACTTAAATATGAGTAATGGAAACAACTCTAAAATGTCACAAAATAAATGTCTACGTTCACATGAGGCGGTTTTTAAGACTGTTTGAGAAAACAATATTTTTTGAAATTGAAATGAAAAAAAACTTTTTCGCATTCTAGTCTTGGCGCCTGCTGTACCACACCCCCCAGAGAGCCAGCTCCGCCCGAGAGTCAGACAGCTGGAAATCCGTCGTCACGTTTAATTCGAATGATGTTGCGAGAGGAGAAAAAACAAGCTTCATTCACATAACCTAACTCAGTGGAAACACAGATCAGTTGTGTTTGTGTTTTGTCGACTTTTGAAAAACAAATAAATAAATAAAATAAAATAAAATTTCGTGCTATGTCGTGCAAAAACTGCAATAGAAATGCAGCTCTTGATGTCACAAGTTCAAACACATATTACACACAACATTTGACATGTGGGCCGCACCTCTCTGAAGCAAACATACAGAACAAAGCTTGCAGGCTGCTTACACCACACAGCTCCGTTTCATACATGTAATATTCCACTCTCTGTTTTCACTGCTGTGAATATCAATAACATGTCATCACCGCTGATCACTTACAGTAGTGTCATGCCTCTAGCATTCACCTGTAGGCTCTGACTGTAGTTTGCTGTGAGGAGGCTGACTGAACTCAATCTGCTTCACTCAGATCTAAAAAAAAAAAAAATGTTTCTGCTGTAATGCTGATAAGACACACACTTCCAGTGCATTGATTCAGAAAGGAAATTGCATGATTATGGAAGTACTGACACATAATGAGTCTGTAAAGACAGAGAAATGTCAAAGCTTGTGAGTGACTGATGATGTACGTTACAAACTGAACTGGTAGAAGTGTATGAAACTTTCCAATTACATTATTGACTTTCTATATTTGTTCCGCTTTTTTTGACTGCCGTTACATACCAGTGGCCTACTGGTACTACTGGTCTGTTACTGTGCAGCTCTTTTCCTGTAGACACATTTCCACCTCTAAGAGAAAAGAGGGCATCGAGGGAATGAAAATATATACAAGTAGAAAGCAGGGACTGAGTGTAGTGGGTGGTATTTGTGACCATATCAGTGTGCTGTATGTAATTTCATCGCTACATGCATGACCTAGCATTTCCTTTTCAATTGTGCTGATAGCCTCTGAATAATGTGGATATACACTGTTTGAATTATTTGTGTGTGTGTGTGTCTGTGTGTGTGTGTGTGTGTGTGCATATAGTCCTATATCAAGACTCGCGAGTGCTCTTTAATGGTATTGTATCTGTATGTGAGGTTGGCAGACTCGATACTCAGACTCAAGTGCTCTTCAGAGGCTCTCTCTGCAGCCATGTGTATGTATGTGTGTGTGTGTGTGTGTGTGTGTTTTCTAATGGGGTAGAAACTGCAGCAATGCTTGAGCATGGTGGGATAGGAGAGAGGTCATGCTATAAGACATGTCACTTCCTGTCTTCATCACAGCAGCGGCCGATAATCCCACACTTCGCTCCAATATACAAAGGACTGGGACCAGCACAGGGCCAAACAGAGCACAGAGCAGTCATGGGAACTGTTTTTTTTTTTTTCCTTTCGTTTTTGGTTATTTAACCACTGACATCTACACCTGCCAACAGCAGTTTTTTTTTGTTTTTTTTGTCTGTTTTGCCACTGTGCTAAACACTGCTCGTGCTAAATTTGCATGTTTTCCCCTGGGTGAATTTTGTGGCATTGTATTCTGGCATAATCCAACAGGTTTATAGGGGTGAGGGTTATAAATTAAAGACATATTAGAATTCTGATATATTCCTTCAGTTTATGAAAAAAAAAGCAACAATATATTGAAACCATTTGTGCACAGTTAAGTTGGTAAAATCTACCACTGGTTATGAATAATATTAGTATTTTGTTATTCAGTATTTTGCCAGTGTTTTTTCTGTGTATGTTTGTGTGCATGTGTGTATGACTGTATGAATGTGTCTTTGCCTGTTTGTGCCCATCTGAAAGGATTCAAGCTTCAGGCACCCCGGGGGGGAGGAAGCCAAAATCTACCATGGACCCAAATGGAAATCTTCCACTTAGCAAAATATTTACTCATTTCTGGTCTCAACTCAAATTAGACTGAGCATGTTTGTGCAGGCCAAACCATGTTTGCTTTATTTTCACTGCATCTCATCGAAGAGATCTGGTTCAAGTCGGGCTGAATATCCTCATTTTACACAAGTGCATGATCCCCGGCACTGCTCGGAATGAGTTTCATTACTTTCCCCCCAAAGATGGGCAGTTTAGGTTGGTCTAACCTATAATTCTCAGAGCAGAGTCGCCTCTCTTAAGCACTTGACTGAAGCACAAGTACTGACTCTTAAGGACAAGGACTGAATAAAACTTCCTGCTCTCAACCACAACCACACCTTCCATTCTTTTTTTCTGTCATCTGATCTCTCTCTCTCTTGTTCAGATTTATCTTTCCAAGAGAAACACGAGCAGGAATGCAAATGGAGTCACTGTGTTTCATAAAGCTTTACTAGTGTATATTCATATTCTTATCTGGTATGTTTCAATTATAGCCCATTACATTGCTTCATTTTCACAGTTTTGGGAATGAAGTTGAGTGAGAAAAAAAAGGCAATAAGACACTAAGGGAGGAACGGATATGGCAAACAAATTGTAAGGTAACAGATGGAGCGTAAAAGAAACAACGACTGAAAAAGCAGGCGATGATAAAGAATTAGCAACACAAACGCTAAAAGAAAGCAAATTAGCCTGAGAGTGGCAGACAGAGAAAGTTCCATAGAGACATAAAATTAAAGACAAAGAGGGAGGGGATCTGGATGCAGGGTAGACAGAGAGAGAAGGGAAGCGATGGGTAGAGCGGTGGAGAGGAGACTGATGGAGTGACTAAGCAGCGTATGATTGTTTCTAATTGGGACGGCTCACGATCCATGACATCAGAAAACAGCCAATCATATCCTCTCATTTCACCCTTGTCAAGTGTGACATGTCTCTGCTTTCCACTCACACCTTCAGCTAGCGGCGTCCACACACACACGCACACACGCGCACACATACACATACACACACACACACACACACATACATAAACACACGGTCTGTTGTTTACATCTCTTTTCCCACTTTGTCTTTCACACACACACACACACACACGCGCGCGTGTGCGCGCACACACACACACACACACACTCATACATAAACACACGGTCTGTTGTTTACATCTCTTTTCCCACTTTGTCTTTCACGTTCACAGTTTCCCACTCTCAAATTCCCCACACAAACACAAACACACAAACACACAAACACACACACACACACACACACACACACACACAGCTACAATGATGCAAACACGCACCTGCCCCCCGCAGGGCAGGACAGTGTGTCTAAGTTGAGATAGAGGGGAGTTATAAATAGTAGTCCTCATATCCTCCTCTGCTGATAGCATCATGCACTGTCTGGTCTGATGATATACACACATGTACAGAGAAATCACACACACACAAACACACACAC